GTGGCTCAAGCGTGTAATCCCAGCACTTTGGGAGGCCAAGACGGGCGGATCACAAGATCAGGAGATGGAGACCATCCTGGCTAACACGGTGAAACCCCGTCTTACTAAAAAAAAAAAATACAAAAAACTAGCCGGGCAAGGTGGCGGGCGCCTGTAGTCCCAGCTACTCGGGAGGCTGAGCCAGGAGAATGGCGTAAACCCGGGAGGCGGAGTTGCAGTGAGCTGAGATCCGGCCACTGCACTCCAGCCTGGGCAACAGAGCAAGACTCCGTCTCAAAAAAAAAAAAAAGAAAGAACGAACGAAAAAGAATGGAAAAGGAAAGAAGGAAGGAAGGAAGGGTAAAAGAAAGAAAAGAAAAGGAAAGAAAGAAAGAGAGAAAGGAGAAAGAAAGGAGAAAGAAAAGAAAAGGAAAGAGAAAGAAAGAAGAGGAAGGAAGGAAGGAAGGAAGGAAGGAAGGAAGGAAGGAAGGAAGGGAGGGAGGGAGGGAGGGAGGGAGGGAGGGAGGGAGGGAGGGAAGGGAAAGGAAAGGAAAGGAAAGAAAGAGAAAGAAAGAAAGGCAAGAAAGGCCACTGAGTTCTGAGGACCAATGCAATCATTCTGGTGCCAGGTGGAAAACTGCTGATGAAGGGGCAAGGGCACGAGCAGGGAGTTCAGACAAGTCTTTTTCAATAAACCAGATGGGTGATGATGGCGGCTTGCCCCAAGCTGGTGGCCATGAAGGTGGTGAGAAGTGGCCCAATTCTGGTGGAGGTGGAGTTGACAGGCTGGACAAAAAAATGGAAAATCTGGGCTCAAATTAAAAAAAAAAAATTAATAAAGACTTTCTAAAGCTTGCCAGTGGGTTTTTTTCTTTCCCACAATTTCATTGTACTTAATCTCACTGTCAATTAGTTCGCGCTTAGATGCAGAACAGTGAGTTTTGAGGAGCCAAAAAAGGTTTTAACTTGCCTAAATTGTTTCAGTTAGCATAACTGCTTTTGTGCTAATTATTGGTGATTGGGTTTTAAGATCCAACAAATGCAGGCATAGGCTGGCAAATTCTATGCAGGCTCACTTTGCACTAAGTCTTGCACATTAAAAAAAGGAGGGCAGAGAGCTTTGGCTCCCAAAGAGAGAAGGGCTCTCTCTTCCCAGCATCAAGCTCCTGAAACTACCATTAGGTTCAGACACTAGAAGAGTCAGACACTAGAAGAGTCAGACACTAGAAGAGTCAGACACTAGAAGAGTCAGGACAAGAAGCCAGCTTACTTTATTTCCGGCCCAGAGCTCACAGCAGCCCTCTGCTCTTTGGCACCACCAACCTCATCCAGCAAGAATAAGGTTCCCTAAAATTCCCCGGGAAAACAGAAATCCTACTGCTCACTTTCCTACCCTCACATCTACTTCTCTAATTGTCTCACTGGAAACAATGTCCCACAAATTTATATTCTCAGAGGAAACCCCTTTTGAGAGAGCAACGGGTCCAGCCTCTCACACGGTTAGAAAGTTCACAAGGTGCCAACAGTGGTCGTGGTGTTTCTCCTAAGGGACTTAACATACCGACGTCCACCCTCAACTCATTAAATTGGTTTAAGGAGGAGCCCAGACATGAGTATTTAAAGCTCAAGTGACTTTAATGTGCAGCCAGGGTTGAGAACTACTGCCCCAACATCTTCTACTGAGGCAACAGATTTTCAAAGGTGTGTCCTTCAACATGCAAGGAAGACAGCCCATCCAGCAAGAGGGGTGCATGTCAGCAGCAAGAGTGAAGTGGCTCTTAGCCAGGAGCGTGAAGCTGCAGGCTGTGCCTCTCAGGCAACCCGTGGTGATACTCCCAAATCACATCCCAATTTCTAGAGGAGACATTCCTCCAGACATCCACACGGCCTTAACACAATTACTGCTTAGAGGCAGCTCAATAACCAAGAATTATTCAAAAGGCAACAACACGTGAACGTTGAGGCACAGCAAAATTAGTCATCCACTTACTTACTGAATCTTCAACTAAATTTCACTTTGGTGTTGGCCACATGCCACAAACACCTGCCTTAAACATTGTCAGACTATCAGCAAAGATGCCGGTGCAAGCAATGCTCTCAAAGCCTCTCCATCCTAGCCCAGCCCAAGAGATACAGGTAATCGTTTTTCTTTGGGAAAGAAGGTTCATTTCAGGGCAACTATAACCAGAGATAATTTGGGTTTACCTCTAGGGCATCCAGCCCTCTCAAGGAATAGACTCCACTGACTAAGACAGTTGCTGCTATTACCCTGCAATTACACTGGTTAAGGCAGTAGTAAATAAAGGTCTAGAATGAATGTATTTCATGTGACTTATAATGAAAACAATGATTTTGCAAGTTCTTATCACAAAGAACTTGAGATGTCTGACATCTCTAGTACCAGCTCGTGAAAACAGTAAGATCATTTCCATGTTCTTTAGACTTGGTGATGAATTTCTTTTCTAGAACACCATCTATAGTCACTATTTTGCTGTTATGAGCTGTTGAGCAACATTAGGGTGGTGGGCTCCTGCAGAAGCCAGGCACTGACAGCCTCTCTAGAAGTAACTCCACGTTGCATTTGACTGAATGCCCCGAATTCCAACCTAAGTATTAAAAACCTAATTCCTGTGTTCTTACATAACAGTCCATGGAAATTAGCTAGAATCTGACCTTCCCCCATCACTATTTTTGGGAGAGGTAATAAACAGGAGTAACTTCTCCGAGATACAATGCTATTTATCTCGCTCTTGTTTAGCCCAGTCTGGTAAATACAGGTATATAAATAAATTAAAAGGCCTCAGAGAGCATTAAGCCAGAAAGACCCATGCTTTAAATACACATTGGGCTTGAACAGAAGTGTGTGCATATGCATACGCAAACTCGTGTGTAAAGAGTCTCTCAATTTAGAAAACAGCACTTCAACCTCTTGTGCTTAAAGTCAAGCAAATATGGTACAGACAGAACCAGAGAGCTCTGCTGCTGGCCCGTCTCCCTCACTCAGGTATCAGTCACTTGAGAGACCCGCTTTAGAGCAGGTGTTCCAGGAGAAATCACACACTGCTACCCAGGGGAAGGAACAAAAGAGGGCTTGCAGATTCAATATCCAGCCTCTACCTCACGACAAATGTATTCGTCAATGAAAAAGGAAGAGAGGTTTGGTTCCAATTCCTTTATGATCCAAAGTATTAGGTTGGCACAAAAGTAATTGCAGGTTTTGTCACTATTTTTATTTATTTATTTATTTATTTTAGATGGAGTCTCACTCTGGGCCCAGACTGGAGTGCAGTGGCATGATCTTGGCGGACTGCAACCTCCGCCTCCCGGGTTCAAGTGATTCTCCTGCCTCAGCTTCCCTTGTAGTTGGGAGTACAGGAATGTGCCACCACCCCCAGCTGATTTTTATATTTTTAGTAGAGGGGTTTCACCGTGTTGGCCAGGATAGTCTCGAACTCCTGACCTCAGATGATACACCCTCCTTGGCCTCCCAAAGCGCTGGGATTACAGGCGTGAGCCAACGCGCCCAGCCTGTCATTACTTTTAATGGCAAAAACCGCAACTACTTTGGCACCAATCTGATAGGCAAATCTCACTGTGTATTTAATGTATCTTTCCCTATTAATGAGCTTAAACCAATGTCTGAGGCTGTGGTGACTGTTTGACTATGGAGGTACCTGCTGTAAAAGGAAGTAAATAAATGCAAAGTTAGGGCAGCCCCCTGCCAATGTAAAGCTGCTAGAACATATGCCCAGTTACAAGCTATATTATATGGAATTTGAAGTGAGAGAAATCCCTAGAAAATGGGATTTCATTTTCTAGAAAATGAAAACTCAGTTCATTTAAAATCTGGCTCCTTCTAATTTAATAATGAAAGCTCATAAAAGTATGAGACAGAAGAGAAATAAGCTTCAGTGTAAAGCTTTCCTTCCAAAGAGGTTTGTTCAAAAAAGAAGTCTGTTCAAAAATTCAAGACTCATCCAAAGACTATTTATTGAAGACCTACTATGTACAGCACTGCAGTAGGCACCACTGGAGATCAGATACAAATGAGGGAAATCCCTGGGAGATTCCTACTTTACATCTAAGAAATCACAACTTCAATTGTTCTTCACACCAGAGACAAAAGGGCACACTGGAGACCACCACTCCTCTATCCAATACTGCGGGGGAGGAAGTGGGGACACTAGACATGGTAGTAGCTCTGGAAATAAATAGCTGCTCAAGTTCACACAACCTTGAATTTTTCCCTTACAAATAAGCATAGTCTTCTGAGTTTTCTATACAAAAACATAAAAGAAGTAAAGCACCTTAAAACCTGAGCCAAAAACTACTAGCCTAGAATCAAGACAGTGTGATAGTCAGGAATTGCTAAATCAGACGAGACAGATGGGTTCCCCTAGCATCAGGAGCTTAATGATTTCAGGTTACCAGTGGAGCTGAGTACAAGCATGCCTTAAGATAGAAGAAGGCAAATCTGTCAAGGCCCTCCCCTCCTGGAGAATCTGCAGTGGGGTTAGCAGTCCTAAAGCTCCACCCCAGCACTCTGCCTCCTCCATTGCACCACCCCTGCCACCCCATCCTCGCCTCAGTCTTTCCCAGAAGTCATTTCATCTGCTTGGAGACTGTTGTCACAGTATCTGCACGATGCATCATTTTCTCAGAAAAAGATAAAGAATAGAAAAGGTAAATCAATAGACAGAAAGTAGAGGAGTGGTTGCCTGGGCTGAGGTTAGAATGGGAGTGAGGTAAATGAGCACGAGACTTCTTTTGGAGTGATGGAAATGTTCTAAAATTGGTTTGTGGTGGTGGTTGCACAACTCTGTAAATATACTAAACATCGCTGAACTCTACACTTAAAATAGGTTATTTTTATGGTATGTAAATGATATCCCAATAAAGCTGTTAATTTTTTTAAAAGTGTTAACTGTGTTTAACATTAAGCCATGAGAATGTCTACCCAAACGTGGGAGAAACAGCCTTGCTGAAAATGTAAAAACACGAGCAAATAGATCACAAGTTTGTTCAGGATTCCTTCAACTTTAATTGTGGGGGTAAAATCAGGCAGCCACTGAAGATAAAATACAGTCCCTGGGAGTAATCACAATGCTGTTTTCTTTTGTAAAGTGGACATGATAAGAGTTTTTTGTTTTGTTTTGTTTTTCAGCGCAAGTGGTCAAAAGTTGTCAAAATTGTCTTCATTCCTCGATTGTCTCTTTTTTACCAGTCTCTTGCCCTTCAAACAGAGGATACCTGGCCTCCACATCAGCCCATGTGATGCTGCCATTGGCTAGGTCTCGGACTATGCTGGGCAGCTCAGAGACCTAGAGACAAGGAGAGAGAAGCCAAGTATCAACCAACTTGTTCAGATTTTTAAGAAGAAGATTTATCCTGAACTCAGGAAACCTTACACAGAGCCAAACAATGTCATGCTGGGCATGGGTTCATGTTCTTCTTCTAGCCCACAATGCCCACCAGTTCCCTCAGACAACTCAATTCTGCCACAAAGCCTTTCCTAACTTTTCTAAATCTCCATGTCCTTTACTTCATGTGTATTAAATTTAACTATTAGAACAAACAGGAGTCAGTCAAGTAACTCGTGTGAGGGAGTTACATAAGACTGGCAAACTGGAGAGCTCTGACAAAGGAGGCCACTGTTCCTCAGCCAAAATCAAACACTGGCTGCCACATAGCAATGGTTCTCAAACTCGAGTGCACGTCAGAATCATCTGGAGGTCTTGTTAAAACTAAAAAAGTTTTGCCTGCCCCCTCTGCCTCTCCATCCCCAGTTTATGATGTAGTAGGTCTGGGGAGGTTTTGCTTATCTCACACATTTCCAGGTGACACTGATGCAGCTGGTCTAGGGACTACACTTTTGAGAACCACACCCAGATGGGTACACAAGTCCAGAGTAGCCAGATGGTCTCTAAAAAGTCAAGTTAGAAATTCACGACTTCTGGATTAGACTATAAACTCCTTCAGAAAAAAAAAAGCAGTCTTTTGCTTCTGTTTTCCCTATTAGTATCTGTATCAAGCTAAGTACGGAACAGGCACTTGAAATATGTGCTCAAAGTTGATAAATTAGGCAGGCAGACGTCAATTAGAGCAGCTACTCTTTCCTTTCCCTTACCACCCATCCTTCCGCTTCTGTGCTTCTACCATCTCCATTACTGCCTTCCTATTGACCAAAATTACTGAAACATCATTCACTGTTTTGAATATCTGAACACGGAAAAGTTTATACATACACATGTATACGTGTCTGTAAAAATAAAAAATTAAAATGTCTAACCCCTCAAAAGCCTACCAATAAAACTATGGCAACAAATTATTGGGATCATATTTCTCTTGCCCAATAAACAAACAAGTATAAAAGCAAACTGCTGGAGAATGAGCCCAGAGCAATACAAATGGTTATAAAATATTAGAGAAGTGCTAATGGATATTTTCATAATTAAACCAGGGGGACTTGAGAATCTGGGCTCTGTCTGATAGAAGCCGTTCATTAAAATTAAAAAGAAAAAAGAAAGGAAAGGGAGCATATACACATCAAAATCCAATACAAATCAGTAAGAAGCAGTACACATTTCTAAGGCTAAAAATGCCAAAGAGAAGGCCAGATACCTCTGCTCTTATCTGCCGCATTGAGTCACGGTCCCTCAGAGTTGCTGTGTGGGGGGTCTTGTTCACTGTGTCAAAGTCAATGGTGACACCAAAAGCCACGCCAATCTCATCAGTCCTGGCGTAGCGCCTTCCAATTGACCCAGAGGAATCGTCTACCTTGTGAGACACTCCGTGCCTGGTGAGGGCTTCCGCTATCCAAAATAAACAAAGTAAATTAAAAATAGAACAATGGAGTTAAGCCCAATGTTATCTAACTACTGTCTTCTTACAAGCTCAGACTTATAAAAGGGACCAAGACAAGACAGCAACAAGTTGAGTTGCAACACAAAGAAACATCCCTAAAGTTTAATAAATCCCTTGCGAGAATCCAAATCTTCATGCATACCTCCATCTGATACAGCTATAGGGGGAACAAATATAGGACCAAGAGCCAAGGCCAGAAGGTGAGTCCTGACTCCACCACCTCCATTTTTATGGCTCTGAGCAGGTCAATGGACTCTCCCCACTTCCCAACTCTGAAATAAGTGGGATGTGCCAGATGACCACTAGGATTCCTTTCAGGGCAGTGGATTCTGTAGCTGTAGATCCACTAGGGTTGCTACCCTCCACTTGGGTTCCCTCGATGAACTGAGCACCAACGTCAGTATGAGAAGGAAATAATTTTTAAATCTGACTCTTGGGTCCTACCTTGACTCACTCAAATGCCAGAATAAAACATCTGAGCAAGCATACCCTCTCTCTTAGAAATAAGAGTACAGGCTAAAATCATGTACTCTTTATAAAATCATTTATATTCTTTATTCAATCTCTATTTTTATTGAAATAAACGATACATTTCCTAAGATTCAGTCTCCTGATGGTGTTCCCATGGAGTTTACCCAATTGAATTTGCTTACATAATTCCTTGACAAATGGCATGAACTCCTGGTTTTGGCTCAGTGGGAGGACGGAACATTTGAATGGAGCGACTACAGCCGGGAAACTGAAGAACTGGATGATTTAAAAAGAAAAAAATCCAAATATGTTAATTTGTAAATATCTAAATGCTAATACCCCAAACCAAAAGAGGTTAATATTCAGCAAGTGTTCAAGCATAACATCATTACCCAAATGCCAGAAAACATGACACGAAAAGCAGTGTGGCAAAAGAGAAGCAGGAGAACCAGCATCAGAAACACCTGGTTTCAGCTCCAGATTTGGGCCAACTCATGAGCTCTCTTTCTAAACCTTAGTTTCTCCATCTAAAAAGCAGGTCTCCACCACCTGCTCTGCTTGCTTCACAAGCCTGTTACTAAAAAAGTCAAATGATGTGAAAGCATTCTGAAAGCTACTACATATAAAAGACGGTAATTTTTAGTCCCACATAAAAGACAGTTTTTCTGTGGAGACTACCTAAATCATCAAACAAGTGGCAGTGCCCCAAACCAAAAGCCTATTCTGTCTTTTTTTTTTTTTGAGATGGAGTCTTGCTCTGTGCCCCAGGCTGGAGTGCAGTGGCGCGATCTCGGCTCACTGCAAGCTCCGCCTCCCCGGGTTCACGCCATTCTCCTGCCTCAGCCTCCCGAGTAGCTGGGACTACAGGCGCCCGCCACCTCGCCCAGCTAATTTTCTTGTATTTTTAGTAGAGACGGGGTTTCACCGTGTTAGCCAGGATGGTCTCGATCTCCTGACCTCGTGATCCGCCCGTCTCGGCCTCCCAAAGTGCTGGGATTACAGGCTTGAGCCACCGCGCCCGGCCAATTCTGTCTTTTAAGAAAAGAACCTATGAGCCTTAGTGACCCAGTGAAACAGAAAAGTTTAATTAGCTCACAAACATAGGTCCAAAAGAAATAGTACAAAACAAAAAAGATGCTCCATATACCTACACTAAAAAGTACATACAGCCTTCTTAAACTGCCCTGAAATAGTTTCTGAGTAACTCAGAAATCAAAGAAAGCAAAAATAAGGCTGGGCACAGTGGCTCCTGCCTGTAACCCCAGCACTTTGGGAAGCTGAGGCAGAAGAAATGCTTGAGCCCAGGAATTCAAGACCAGCCAGGGCAACATGGCAAGACCCCATCTCTACAAAAACTAAAAAATTAGCTAGGCATTGTGAGGCGCACCTGTGGTCCCAGCTACTCGGGAGGCTGAAGCAGGAGGATTGCTTGAGCCCAGAAGTTTGAGGCTGTAGTCAGCTGAGATCATGCCACTGCACTCCAGCTGAGCAACAAAGCGAGACCAAAAAAAAATAAAAAATAAAAAATAAATAAATAAATAAATAAAAATATTCTGTGGAAGGCAAACCAATCTACCACTTTGGGTTGGAAATGGGAACTGAAGGCAGTTCTTAATACTTGTACAAAAGGTTCACTTGAAGGCAAAAACACAGAATAAATTTGTCCCATAAAAATAATGAATGACACAGATTCCAGTTTAGCCTCTTACCCAAAGTTCAATTAACCTTTAATGCCAAGCAATGAATATCCCACTCTAAGTAAGGCCTGTATTCCACCAACATTGCTGCTCACATCACAGAAGGTTCAGAATTATATTCCCTTCCTCCATCTTGTGATATTTCTATTTAATATGAGACAGTAATAGGGACCTGACTTTATAGAAAAATAATTTTTAGAATTTCACTAGCAATGTTTTTCAACTAAATTTATAGGTAAATAGATTGAGGAACTAGGTGCTAACAATTTAGAAGCATTTTTGGCTTCCCACAGCCTAATCAAATTTCTCTTCATCATGGGAATTCACGCAATTCATAAAACACTGTGACTAATTTATTCTTGTTTAGCCCTTACGAAATTTCTATTAAAGCTGTAGTTATATTAATATTGTTAGATTCAAAGGAACAGCTAAAAGATTTTCTAAAACCTTTTTATTAGAAAAATAAGCAGAAAAAGCTTGAAGCAGACTTGACATCTAAAAAGAACACACGCAGTTATGTTTGTCATCATTTCTCAAAAAGAACCAAGCCTTATGTTTGCGTACCTGGGGCCTAGCCCAGGTTCTTACAATCTGTTGAATGAATAGGGCTGCTTCTTCAAGGTTGGGAAATGAAGATGCAACGTTAGGGCAGAGAGTACACTACTAACTTTATTAGCTATGTATTACAATAGTGTGTCAGACTGAAGTACTGCTGCCGAGAATGTACTAGTTCATCCTTCAAGGTTAAATGTCCCAGAAAGAACCACAGGGTTGATGTCTAACATTACATACACTCAAGCTTTAGAATGGCCAAGTGGATGACGCTGTTTCTTTCAATTAACCTAACATATACAACCTCTCCTTTTTAGCCATTCTTCTGGTTGGCTTTCCTAGCAATCTGACCAGGAGTGTAACTTCTGCAGGCAGAGGCGAGGTAAAAATGGTGAAGTAAGGCAAGGAGATAGAGAGGAAGAAGGCAAGGAGATAGAGAGGAAGAAGGCAAGGAGCAGTGATTCAGAAGCATCAGAACCAAAAGAAAATTCGTGGGAGCTGATGAAGACTTCTTACAATCTTCTATCTTCAGCAATACTTGAATGCTAGGAAAGGCTATACCCCAGATAACTATTATCCCATTTATGATCTGTCAAGCTTTCACAGTGAAATCACCCAGGGTTCTTATTATTAAAAAAACACCCACATCCCTGGGTCTTAGACCTAGTGAATCAGCATCTCCAGAGTAGAACCTAGGAATTCACATCTTTACCCCAAAAGTACCCCAGACAATTTTATGCAGTTTGAGGAGGTTCCCTTTGATACTTTACCAGACTATAGATACAGCTTAGTGGTCTGGCTAAATTCTATGAGTCATCTCATCCTTCCCAAATTTCTGAAAACACAGCATATCCAGAAAGTGCCATTCCTTCCACTGACATAATGTAGATTGTTCCCCAAAGTAATTGGTTCAGTCTCAGAATAGAGAGCACCAGGCAACTAAAACAATAGCTTCTAGAATAACCTAAAGCTCAAATAAGATAACACAGGAAAGTGGTTTGTCTATAAAAACTTAAGCAAAGATGAATGTTAACAGCACTAGTAGACAATAGTAATAACTAATTGATCATTCTAGAGTCTTATTAATGTACTTCACAATGTAATTCAAAACATTTTTATTATCTGACACTATAACAGCACACTACATGATAACTTACTGTTCTCTGTTCATCTCCTTCTCGTACATGGAATGTATGTTCAAATACCGTATACATGATCCTACCCAGGCCGAAGGAGGGTTCAATTACATTCGGAACAACTTCTTCCACTGCGAGAGAGAGAGAAATTCAATAACATTCTCTCAAATACCACATAATGCATTTCAGATTCTCTCTAAACAATTCACTGGGCACGGTGCTCACACCTGTAATCCCAGCATTTTGGGAGGCCGAGGTGGGTGGATCATCTGAGGTCAGGAGTTCGAGACCAGCCTGGCCAACGTGGTGAAACCCCGTCTCTACTAAAAATACAAAAATTAGCCGGGTGTGGTGGCAGGTGCCTGTAATTCCAGCTACTCGGGAGGCTGAGGCAGCAGAATCGCTTGAACCCCGGAGGCGGAGGTTGCAGTAAGCCAAGATCGTGCCACTGCACTCCAACCTGGAAAACAAGGGCGAGACTTGGTCTCAAAAAAAAAAAAAAAAAAATTCTTAGCACTAAAAATATCTCTATTCTAGATGGATTTTTTATCTCTGTATATCAGAACAAAGAAACCAGAAGATACCTAAAAACTATTTGCTAATAGGCAACATGCCTTCGAAGAGAAAGTTGGAGTGAAAAAATCTTTCACCAAATTCTGTTTATACTGTGTAAAAACGAAACCTGAGTTACCAGAATGTTTCTTCACCAGTTGGCAAACTACGAATAGCAGCAGCTACACTTTGTCTCTATCACCTGCCTTGGCTACCCAGAAAGCACAAAAAATCTAAGGCTTTTAATAAGAATTTGCTAGAATTTAAAATCTAACACAGCTGGCAAAATTCACAAAAACAATTCCTACACGCAAAAAGTATTACACGGTTTGTGTTTCTTTAACTTTTTAGCTTGTTATCTTGATGAGAACTTGTTCAGAACCCCATTACTGGCATTGTATTACCAATGTTCTGGGGTCAGGACACCCTTAGGGAAGAGTTTGCTCAAAGAACAGCAGTCCATCAAAGACATCTTACAGTGGCCTAAAGCTCTTCCTGTGGGTAAGACAACACCCGTGGTATACACAGGAAATACATTGATAATTATTACTTATTATGTGGAAAGGAAGAAGCACTGCTAAGCACTGTCCAGGTCTAAGATAACTGGCCATAACCTTGGAGAGTTTATATTGTTTGGGAAATGAGATCATTGGAACCAAAAACTCACACATGTAGAGGAAAAGAGATCCTGTTTGTCTACGATAAAGGGTAATATTTTAGAAACATGATCAAGGCATTCCCCTCCCCCATCCTTCTGTGGTATCTGAGTAATGGTGATGTGCAGCTCTGAACTAGCTGCCAGGATCGTGGCTATAAAGCCCCAGAGCGTGATGGAGAAGCCCCTGCTTACTCCTACCACTGCTCACAGAAGCCTGGCTACAAGACAGGCCAAGAACAAAGGCTCACTCTCTCCACTGGCAGTAGCTTCTCAAACACCCACTACTATTCTGTTTCCAGGAATTTCAATTCAGCCACAAATAAACTTCAGCATCCTCCATATATGCTCCAAATTACTCATTGCCTGATTCACATAATTTGTTCTACAAAAAACCAATCATCTTCTTACCTTTTAAAAAAGCATGAAACATCACTGGTCTAAATGGCTTTTTTTTTTTTTTTTTGGAGACAGAGTCTCGCCTGTTCACCCAGGCTAGAGTACAATGGCGCAATCTCGGCTTACTGCAAGCCTCCCGGGTTGAAGGGATTCACCTGCCTCAACCTCCCGAGTAGCTGGGATTACAGGCACGCACCTCCACGCCCAGCTAATTTTTGTATTTTTTGTTTGTTTGTTTTTGAGACGGCGTCTTGCTCAGTCGCCCAGGCTGGAGTGCAGTGGCATGATCTCAGCTCACTGCAAGCTCCGCCTTCCAGGTTCACACCGTTCTCCTGCCTCAGCCTCCTGAGTAGCTGGGATTACAGGTGCCCGGCGCCACACCCAGCTAATTTTTTTTGTATTTTTAGTAGAGATGGGGTTTCACCATGTAAGCCAGGATGGTCTCGATCTCCTGACCTCGTGATCCACCCACCTCAGCCTCCCAAAATGCTGGGATTACAGGCGTGAGCCACTGCACCCGGCAAAATTTTTGCATTTTTAGTAGAGATGGGGTTTCACCATGTTGGCCAGGCTGGTCTCAAACTCCTGACCTCGTGATCTACCCGCTCTCGGCCTCCCAAAGTGTTGGAATTACAGGCGTGAGCCACCGCATCTGGCCCCTAAAGGACTTTTTAATAAGTTATTTTGCCAAAAAAGACAGGGAATGAGGGCTAGGCGTGGCCGCTCATGCCTGTAATCCCAGCACTTTGGGAGGCCGAGTCGGGTGGACTGCTTGAGCCTAGGAGTTCAAGACCAACCTGGGCAACGTGGCAAAAACCTCATCTCTACAAAAAATACAAAAATTCGTTGGGTATGGTACCGTGCTCCTGTAGTCCCAGCTAATTGGGAGGCTGAGACAGGAGGACGAATGCTTCAGCCCAGGAGGCAGAGGTTGTGCCACTGCACTCCAGCCTGGGTGACAGAGCGAGACCCTGTCTCAAACAACAGCAAAAGCTTTAAGGAGCAGTGACTTTTTGTTTATCATTTTTACAAATTTACCATATAGTGTTTTCTGGAATCTCTTCACATTGACCATGTCTTTTGTTAACTGAAATGTTTTCCCTTCAGTTTCAATTGTAAATTCCCTACAAAGAAACAAAATACATTTTGTATTAGTTCAAACAGGCACCCCATGCCTTAATTTAAAGGAATTTTGTAGATTGCTAAATTGTTTTTTATTTTTATAACTTGATCAACTCTCCAGATATAATAAGTGATGTCAAATTTAAATTATTTCATAAGAAACACCAAATTAAGTATTATTCTAACAATGGCACCAAAAAGTACTCTGAGGAGATACACCAAATTTTGACTAGTTTCATAAAATTCCACAAGTGACTTAATGACTAATGCCTTTGGTTTTGAGATCAAGGTAAAACCAAAAACAACTTTTTGAAATTTCAGTTTTAGAATAATAACAACTTTGTCAGAAATAAGCCTGCTGGTAAAAACACAAGGGTTCTCATTACTGTCCCAACAAATGTACAAATGAACCAGCATGCCATCTTACAAAAGTAATTTTACAGTCCAATGCCCACACTATTTTCAAAATAAATTTTGACATTTGTGTTGATGAAGATCAGTTTAAAAGAAGTTTAATGTTTCTGTTTCATATGGCAATATAAAATATTATCCCCCCCAAAATCACTGGCTGCCATGTATTCGTGTCCTGAAATATGCCCATTCAGTTTCAGGTTATAATAATTCACTCTTATAAGGAGTTTCATGTAATACCTGTATTTCAGCTTAGGAGGTGTTTCCTCACATTTTGAGTATCAATTTGGATTTCTCTTGCCTCCCAAGCAATTCAGTGCTAGGATAGAGAGCCCTCATGTGGTTGTCTCGGAAGCTGGATACTTGGCATACATAACAACTGCATTTTGCTTGTTTCCACCGTGATAATCTCATGCCTCATCTGACTGGTGTTCACTGAATTCTTCCGTTTTTACTATTCTGTCTGAAGTCTGTGTGTGCGTGCATTAAAGGTTCCATTACATACACGGTGTTATATTCACCCTCTCTGTGAGCACAGTCTAAGTGTATCATAGTGAACAGCTATAAAAGAGTTGCAATTGGGTCAGGCATGGTGGCTCACGCCTGTAATCCCAGCACTTTGGGAGGCCAAGGCAGGTGGATCACCTGAGGTCAGGAGTTCGAGACCAGCCTGGTCAACATGGTGAAACCCCATCTCCACTAAAAATACAAAAAATTAGCTAGGCGTGGTGGTGCACACCTGTAGTCCCAGCTACTCAGGAGGCTAAGGTGGGAGAATTGCTTGAAACTGGGAAGCAGAGGTTGCAGTGAGCTGAGATTGCACCACTGCACCCCAGCCTGGGTGACAGTGAGACTCCATCTCAAAAAAAAAAAAGAGTTGCAATTGGCAAGGAGACAGCCATTACTTGAGAATAAGTAATAAAGCAAACTGTGTTTATGGATAATGATATTTAATTAGTAATATAACTTAGTCCATTTTAATGGGATTTGATATTGTTTTAGTATAAATAGATGTTAATTCTAGAAGACCAGAAATGTTTTAAAATTTTTCTGAAACAGATATCTTCAACTTGCAAGAGTTCATCTTTGTCCCATCCGTTCTTTGTTCCTTTTCCTCCTCTCCCATCTTCTTGTGGAATATTTTTTCTTATTCTACTTTATCTCCACCATTGGTTTATTAGTTACACCCCTTGGTTTTTTTTGTGTTTTTTTTCCAGGTGATTGCTCTAGAGTTCACTCTACGCATTTTTTAACTTATCACAGTTTATCTTCAAGTAATATTACACCATTTCATATATAATATATACACCTCACAAGAGTATATTCCTAATTCTTTGCTCCCACCCTTTGTGCTATTGATAGCATACATTTTACTTCCACGTGTTATAAATTCTGTATTATTATTAATTTTATTTATTTATTTTTATTTATTTATTTTTTTTGAGACGGAGTCTCGCTCTGTCGCCCAGGCTGGAGTGCAGTGGCCAGATCTCAGCTCACCGCAAGCTCTGCCTCCCGGGTTTACGCCATTCTCCTGCCTCAGCCTCCCGAGTAGCCGGGACTACAGGCGCCCGCCACCGCCCCCAGCTAGTTTTTTGTATTTTTTAGTAGAGACGGGGTTTCTCCATGTTAGCCAGGATGGTCTCGATCTCCTGACCTCGTGATCCACCCGTCTCGGCCTCCCAAAGTGCAGGGATTACAGGCTTGAGCCACCGTGCCCGGCCTGTATTATTATTTTTACTTTAAATACTCCATTATCTTTTGAAGAAATTAAGAGATGAGAAAGAAAATGCCATTTCTATTTACCCACATATTTGTCATTTCTAGATCTCTTAAGTCTTCTGGGTAGATCTAAACTTTCATACTTCTGCCTGGAGAAGTTCCCTTAACAATTCTCATAGTAGAGGTCTGTTGGTAGTGCAATTTCAGAGCCCTGGATTGTCTAAAACAGAGGTGTTCAATCTTTTGGCTTCCCTGGGCCACACTAGAAGAACTGTCTTGGACTGCACGTAAAATACACTAACACTAGCCATAGCTGATGAGCAAAGAAAAAAAAAAAACTGCAAAAAAAACTCATGATGTTTTTCGAAAGTTTACGAATTTGTGTTGGGCAGCATCAAAAGCCATCCTGGGCCACATACAGCCTGCAGGCCGCAGGTTGGGCAAGCTTGGTCTTAAAAGTATTTCCTCTTCATTTTTGAAAGATATTTTTGCTGGGTGTAGGAATTTTAAAACACTTTAAAAGATTTCATTCCATTATATGGTGATCTGCATAGTTTTTGATACGAATTCTAATCATTCTTATCTTCATTTGTTTTTACGTAATGAGTCTTTTTCCCCTCTAGCTGCTTTAAAGGTTCTTCTCTTCATCCCTGGTTTTTAGCTATTTGATTTTCATGTGTCTTCATATGGTCATCTTTGTGTTTATCCTGCTTGGGGATAAGCTTCTTCAATCTGTAGTTTTATCGTTTTCATCAAATTTGGAAAATTTCCAGCTATTGTATAATATTTTTTCTATACGCCCTCTCTAGGACTCTCAATTACACATGCATTAGATGGTCTGATATTGTCCCACTGGACAGTTTTTTCCCAGTCTTGTTTTTTCTATGCTTCATTTTGGATAGTTTTTGTTGCTATGTCTTTGAGTTCAATGATCTTTCTTCTGTATGTTTAATCTACTGTTAATCCCATCCAGTGACATTTTCATTTGAGATACTGCTTCTAAATGTTTCATGTTGTCTATATATATAAAAACATGTGTTTATATCCATATTACACATATATTTTTCCCTTTCTCACCTCACATGTTCATGTTTTCCTTTATATCCTTGAGTACATTAAGTATATTTATAATAAGTGCTTTAACATCCTTATGTATTTACCGCATCATGTTTTTTCTAGGTGTTTCTTTCAACTGACTTTACTCCTCATTTTCCTGCTATTTCATATATATATAGAGTAATTTTTATCATTTGCTGGATATTGTAAATTTTACATTGTTCAGGGCTGGATTTTGTTGTATTCCTTTAAAGGCTTTTCTCTATTTTTTCTTTTTTTTTTGAGACAGAGTCTCACTCTGTTGCCCAGGCTGGAGTGCAGTGGCAAGATCGCGGCTCACTGCAAGCTCCGCCTCCCAGGTTCACGCCATTCCCCTGCCTTAGCCTCTGAGTAGCTGGGACTACAGGCACCCACCGCCATGCCTGGCTAATTTTTTGTATTTTTAGTACAGATGGGGTTTCACCGTGTTAGCCAGGATGGTCTCCTGACCTCGTGATCTGCCTGCCTCGGCCTCCCAAAGTGCTGGGATTACAGGCGTGAGCCACCATGCCCCGCCTTCTCTATTGTTTATATTCATGCTTAAACAATTACAGAGAGTATTCTAAACCTCCAAAAAGGAGAAGTGACCTGAGAGGTAGATGTAGTTTCTAACCCTTCCTAGCTGGGTAAGTCGCTTTAAGAAAGTTAATAGGGAAAAAAAAAAAAAAAAAAGTCTTTATATTCTACTTCAAATCTTTTTCCAGGCTATAATGCCAAAATCTCAGCAAAGACAGTCCTTCAAATGCAGCCAACAAAAAATCTTAAAAATCTTACCTGCAAAAAATCTTAAGAAATTAACCACACCCTAACTTTCAGAACCTGGCCGAAGACACAACTGACTGGAGCCCGTGGAAGACTAAACATCTGAAATCTTACCCTTTCTCATTCAGCAGCATCTCCATTTCTGTAATGTAGCACTCATCACAAATGGCAAGATACTCCATCACCAGTTTTGCATCCTTCTTATACGCCTTACCAATTGCTCCCTTATTGGGTTCAAACTGAACAACACTGACTGTTTTGTATGAAGTAGTCAAGGAATCCAAAACTACAGCACTAACTCAGTATTTCAGAAAACGAGCCTGAGAACAATCAGTCATCAACTTAAAACCACCCCAGCTCTCTATCAGTACTCCAGATCCTGTTTATGTTGATTTTAAGACAAGATGAAACACCTGTCCACAAAATCATTCAAGCAAATCTCACCCAAAATTAATACCATCAATAGAAACTTTTCCAGTTACAGTGAGAAAAAAGAGATATTATCTAATCAGTAATGACCAACCCATGGCATAAGAACTTCTGATAAGAATTTATTTCTAAAATGCCCAAAACAAGATCTATTTCCTGTCACTGACCTACCCCTAAGAAATCAGCTCATAACTTCACTGCCTAGTAAAGAAAGAAAATTTCTATTTTGCTGATTTTCAGACCAAGTGAGTTAAATTATTATTTCATCTACTATCAAATGACACTCATCTTTTAATGGAAAAAGCTTTCACCAGGTACCCTTTATTTAAAGAGCATGTAGGTAGGTGCAGGTGTGAAGCGCATTTTGGAAACAGCTGAGAAAAACACTATTAACGCTCTGAAAGATATTCAGAGCATTTTTCTAAATATGCTTCTTTTAAAGGCCAAACATTGAGTGGGCACACATCAGACTACAAGTGCAGAGAATAGGAAAGGAACAAAGAGATAGGTAAAATAATAGGTTTAAACAAGTATTACTACGGTATCAAAAACATCTCCATTTATCCATAGAACCCGGTAAAGACTTGGACTTAGTCATTAGCAAGATGTTCACATGTGAATCCTGAGTTTTTGGAGTGAACAGAAAGGATATGGGTTCTTTCAGAGGTTTCTCAGCTACAAGTGGGACTTTGGTGGCTCGTGCATGACAGGAGAGGTCATAACAGGAACGATCAGCACATCCAACAATCTCAATCCAACCCTAAAAAGATATAATCAATAAAAACATTACTTACTTATACTTACATTGTGTTCATTCACAAATGCATGCAGATTATAACCCTTTCATATATTCAAGGATAATTCGATTATACAATCTTCATTCAAATTTTATAAATATTTGAAATGGGAATAGCCTCATATATCAGGCAGCTAATAAACCTATAAAATATAATTCACACGGATCTGGGTGTGATGGCTCACGCCTGTAATCCCAGGTACTTGGGAAGTTGAGGTGGAAGGATAACTTGAGGCCAGGAGTTTGAGACCAATCTGGGCAACATAGTGAAACCCCATCTTAAAAAAAAAAAAGAAAGAAAAAATATATAATTCACACTATACACAAAATAGTCTTCCTTTCTGGATGGATTTATATTGTCATACTGAGTCTGTGGTGTAAACTAATATATTCGGGAATTTAATTACGGAAATTAAATGTGAACCTAGACAAAGCCTGTAAATTTGGTTCAAATTTGTGAACAGGAATCAAAATGAATTTGGCAGAAACCATAATTCTTTGGATGAAGTACCTACTGTTCTCACAACTTGATATCAGATGGCTGACTAAACACCTACTTCAGCTTGCCATAAATGTGGGCATTTGGATTCAATTCACTTTCTTTACTGAACAAAAGACAACTCAGTATAAGAGTGGATAAAGTTTAGGTCACACAATAAAATTATATAAGAGCATTATGATCACACTGATGCCAGGTTCTCTGTCTTATAAATACATACATAAGATACTGTTAAAAAGCAAAATTTAAATTATTTTCAAAGAACCTGCAATGAATTGAATGCTTGTGTCCTTGGCAAAATTCGTATACTGAAATCCTAACTCCCAACATGATGGAATTAGGAGGAGGTGCCTTTGGGAGGTGATTAGGTCATGAGGATGGAGCCCTAATCACTGGAATCTGGGACCCCAGAGAGCTCTCTTGCCCTCTTTCACCATGTGAGGATACAACAAGAAGTTGGCAGTATGCAACTGAGAATGGGGCCCTCACAAGAATCAGACCATGCTGGCACCCTGATCTCTGACTTTCAGCCTCCAGAACAGTGAGAAATCAATGTCCGTTGTTTATAAGCCACTCCGTATGTAGTACTTTCTTATAGCAACCCCAACTATGACAAACTCTTAAGAATCTGTTATTTCAATAAGAAAAAGAGTTTGTAAAGAGCTTATTTTGGTAGATATCTAGTTAGTCCTTCTCACGAAGATTCGTCGTTTTTTTTTTTGTCCTTGATCCAAAGAGTTTGGGGAAATTAAACCATCAAAACTACTAAGCTTGGCCAGACACAGTGGCTCATGTCTGTAATCCCAGCACTTTGGGAGGCTGGGGTGGGCAGATGACCTGAGGTCAGAAGTTCAAGACCAGCCTGGCTAACATAGAGAAACTCCGTCTTTACAAAAAATACAAAAATTAGCCAGGTGCAGTGCCATGCATCTGTAATCCCAGCTACTCGGGAGGCTGAGGCAGGAGAATCGCTTGAACCCAGGAGGCGGAGGCTGCAGTGAGTGGAGAATGCACCACTGCATTCCAGCCTGGGTGACAGAGCAAGGCTCTGTCTCCAAAAAAAAAAAAAAAAAAAAAAAAAAAAAAAAAGGCAAAACTACTCAGCTTTCCAAGCACATGTTATCACATGGGGTGTTTGTAATAAAGCAAGCAAATATAAAACTCATATGAGCTCAGAAACTCCAACACGAAACAACAAAAGGAATTAAAGAACAAAGCCTAAAAACATGCAATCTGGCAATCTGACATTCCCTATGCATGTCGACTGGTAAATATACTTATGTTCTTAAACATACAGTTTGGTGGTTATAATTTACCAAAGGTGTCAACTAACATTTATGTACTGAAAGGTAAAATTATAAAAACGTGCCTGAGAATAACAATGTTGGGATAGTGATTACTTCTCTGGAGGGAAAGAGGATTGGTGTGGCATTAACTACAATGGTAACTTTTTTTATTAAAAAAAAAATATAAAGCACACAAAAGTATTAAACTCTCTAAGGGAGTTCTCCCCTCTCATTAAGAGCATCTGGGACTCTGGAGCTTCTTGTTTCATTTAGCCCTGTTTTCCAGTGACTTTCCATTTTCTGATCCCCAGCCTCACAGTAGTTCTCAGATAAGGACTAGCAGGCATACAGTGGGTTTATAAAGCAGTACAGCATGACTGTTAAGAGCATGGGCCTGGCGTCAGACAGCCAGGTTTATATCCCAGCCTCACCACGCACTGGCTGTGAAACTTAAGCAAATTACTTAATGGAGACAGCAAGAACAACATCTGGTTTAATCTGAAATTAGAGTCAGAGCAAACTAAGAGAAGGAGCTGGGTATGAAACCAAAAGAAAAGAAATAATCTTTTCTCATAAAAAAGGAAAAACATTTTATTGGTTTGATCTGAAAATAAAAAGTCGTCCCAGAAAATCTAAAAAGTGTAAAGAAATTAGTGATGACCCATAATGCTAAGAATAATTACTATTATCATTTTGACATATGTCAAGCAAGCTTGCTAAGAAAATCCTAACAGATTACAGTAATTCTTTCCTAATTCCACAAGGGAAAAAGAATATATTAAAAACAACATCATTAATAGCCATTTATAAACATATGCACATTATTATGCATTTATGCATGTGTGTGTTAGAACACATAGAAAAATCATCTAGAGAAGGCAGACATACCCAAGACCACGGAGCTAAGCATGATCTTTTTTTGTTTGTTTGAGACAGGGCCTCACTCTGTCACCCAGGCTTGAGTTCAGTGGTGCAATCATGGCTCACTACAGCCTCAACCTCCTGGGTTCATGTGATCTGCCCACCTCAGCTTCCCGAGTAGCTGAAACTACAGGGGCGTGCTATCACACCTGGCTAATTTTTGTACTTTTTGTAGAGACAGGGTCTTGCTATGTTGCCCAGGCTGGTCTCAAATTTCTGAGCTCAAGCAATCCTCCCACCTCGGCCTCCCAAAGTCCTGGGATTACAAGCATGAGTCACCACACCCAGCCAGTTTGGACATGTCTTAAAAGCTATAAAAAAAAACAACAAAGTTACGTGACAGAGACTCATAAAGCTAAAAATATTTACCATCTGGTCCTTTATAGAAAATGTCTGCTCAATACAAAGAAGAGACATAAAACACCAGGGGAGAGGCACATAACTGGAAGTTTCATTTTCTACATAATATTCTTCAGAATTATTTTTTCCTTTTTGTTTTAAAAAAAGTAGTCATTACTTTTCATTACTTTTTAAAATATGACTGATTTTGATTTTTAATTTTCAAAAATCCATAAAAAGAAAGCCATTTTAAAAAGTAAAAACTACGCCTGTAGTCCCAGCTACTCGGGAGGCTGAGGCAGGAGAATGGCGTAGGCCCGGGAGGCGGAGCTTGCAGTGAGCTGAGATCTGGCCACTGTACTCCAGCCTGGGCGACAGAGCGAGACTCTGTCTCAAAAATAAATAAATAAATAAATAAATAAATAAATAAATAAAGAGTGAAAACTGAACCAAGGGTGCAGTGGAACAAATGACCCTGGACTAGAATAAAGTCTCTTTCTATGCAGGTGAGGAAGTCTCTCTAACACCCAAGAAGGGAAATGCCAAAAGACTCTCAGCCTTGTTTTAGATGCCACATTTCCTCCTGCCACCAGTATAGACAGCATCTCCTATACGCAAATGCCTTTCGTCCCTCAGCTTCAGTACTGATGTTCATGTTTGGTGGTGGAGGCTGGAGGGGTGACAGGGCACAGGGGCAGCAGGGTACCTCGAGATCATCTGTGAATTGTGAGTTAAATACATAACATTTGAGAAAGGTAATACTTAAGCAAGAGATCAGAATCAACTAGTATATTCCCCAAAGCTACCACATAGCTCATTGAGCTAAGAGCACTATGACTTTCTTTACTCAACCTCTCCACCATTTCCAATGTTTGCTGGGATTCTTGCCAGGAAGGAGAGGCCAATGTGTCTTAGATCCACTCCAGGATATTGCCAGTAATGCTGCCAATACACTGTACAGCTAGTGTACACATCAGCACTGTCCCATCATCAACTAACTCTCTCTCTCAGCTGTCTAAGACTACAACGGGCTCCTTAGGACACATAAAAAGGCAGGAGGCAACTGCTTTTTCCATTTTGCTCAGGAAAAGATCTCTTTTCTTTTCCCTTTGTTCCTCTGTGGCATAAAGTGCACAAAAATCCATTTTTGGGCTCCTAAGTTAACAATGTGAAAACCACATGGTAAACAGCACTCCACTTACGTAGGATGTTTTGGATTCTGCATCCCAACAGTCACAGGCGTAATGGGCCATCTCATTCTCCATGTGCTGCCGGAAGCGGAGTTTATCTGGAGATATTCCAACCTTCGTGAGGTAGAGGTAGATGCGGCCAATGAAATAGCCTAATACTGTGTTATTAATCACACCCTAAATCAACCAGTAAGAAAGCAAGCATGGAGGAAGAAAAGAAAACACACATTAATTTGAAAGCCAAGATACCATTTTCCATTGACTCCTACTGAAAAATATTTGAAACCCAACGCAAACTATTTTATCTTGCTTTCAAAACAATTTCAAATACTCAGAATGAGATCTTGGTTATTTTTTAATGGGTTAATGTCAAGATGATGATAATGGAGTTATTCAAAATCTGTCCAACATACTTAGTGGGTCAGCAAAAATTCAGCCCAGTACCTCATACCTTCTAAATCTACAGTACTAAAAACAATATTCATAATGACACTAAAGAATGGCAAAGACGGCCGGGCGCGGTGGCTCAAGCCTATAATCCCAGCACTTTGGGAGGCCGAGACGGGCAGATCACGAGGTCAGGAGATCGAGACCATCCTGGCTAACACGGTGAAACCCTGTCTCTACTAAAAAATACAAAAAACTAGCCAGGCGAGGCGGCGGGCACCTGTAGTCCCAGCTACTCGGGAGGCTGAGGCAGGAAAATGGCGTAAACCCGGGAGACAGAGTTTGCAGTGAGCTGAGATCCAGCCACTGCACTCCAGCCTGGGCCACAGAGCGAGACTCCGTCTCAAAAAAAATAAAAAAAATAAAATAAAATAAAAAAGAATGGCAAAGACATTCCCTTCTGAATTAACCAAAGTAATGAGACATGTTGAGGGGATTTTAATGTATCCTTACCCACTGAAATTTGTGAACCCCATAGAGTACACATAATCATTTTAGTGTTTGGAAGGACCTTAGAAAACATCTAGCCCCATCTCCATACACTACAGAGGTCTTCTCCGCAAAGTGGCTGACAAGCTATCGACCAATCTTGCCAGGAATATTTTCAGGGCCAGGAAGCTCACTGCTCCGCGAGGCAACTCATTCCACTAGTGGACAGCAGCTACTGTTGGCAAGTTTTCATGTACTCACTTCTCCAGGCAAATATTTACAAAGTGCTTATATGCAAGGCCTTATTCCACTGCTATGAATACAGAAGAGTCTGAAACCCAGGGGGCTTGCTCTCTGTGGCTCCAATTCTGTCTCCCCCAAAGTAGTACATACTGTTGAGAGTCAGATTGGTGAGGCACAATCAAACCAAGATCTATTTTCCAAGTGCTCTGCTAAACATTTGTTTTTCATGCTAGCCCCAAGGCCCACAAATTGAGATGTTCAGGTGATTTTTCTCTTACTATAATAATACTGTATAATAAATTCTTTACAAAACCAAGTACTGTATAAAAAGCAAATGACCACCAAAATAAAATACTTTGTCACCCAGAACACATAGAATTTGCTAATTACTGCAAACCCTGAACAGGCACAATCTAAGTTAAGTTACCTCCAGAATCCTACCTGTTCAACAGCATCTCCCAGGCGCATTTTCCGAGCGGACTGTCCGCTGACCTGGGCTTTTGCTGAATACAAATAAAGGTGAAGGTCTGCCACATTTTGGAACTTGGGGTGGTCTTTCTCACTGGGATCGACAAAGTGCTCAATTTCTGCCATTGTGAATTCTCTGAAAGCAAAAACATAAGTAATATATCTGCATATTTAACTACAAAAAATAATAATAATAAAACAAACAGTAAATAAGGCCCCTATTTTCAACTGCATTCTAGTGATAAAGGCTCCATACTACAGTCATCTTTTTTACTAAACAGAAAGTTGGTTTCCTAAGGGAATGGCTAAAAAAATTCTGAATTAAATTTGTCTGGGTAGTTGTTATTTTTATTTTTTTGATGTATTATATTTCTACAAATGTATGGGGTACATGTGAAGGTTGTTATTTTTAAACACATTAATGAAAATTTTATTACTCACTATTTAAAATAAACATGATCTAACTTCTCTGAAGTATTAATTCCTTCCCTCCAGCTACATTCAAAAAGATTATTAGTTTTAACTGAAAATAACTTGTTAAAGGCAGATTAATACAGTTTTTTAAATTAGGAAAACATACGCAAATAGCACATGCAAAATAAGAAATAAGATATTGAATAGTGACATCCAGATAAAATGGTTTTCCTTAACGCATTAGCAAGTCTTTATAAGTATACACTAAATGAAGTTCTTCATCCCATTCAAAGAATGGGAAATTAAAAGCGAAATGAAATGGTTCTTTAGTTTTCACAGCAGTTTGATTTCTTCTTCTTTACTGCTACAAAAAAGTAAATGACTGATAATGGCATCATACAGCTGGTTTCTTTGGAGTAAGAGTTTCTTAAATAAAGTGTTATTCAAGGCAAAGGACATAAGGCATGAATTGAACAAGCTAACATCAAGCTAATTACCTAACGATGAAGTGCACACTGTAATGGTTTCTCAAAGAGATTTCTCTGAATGCAATTTAGTAGCTATTTGGGGGGAAAGTGTTTCAAGTTAATTTTATGAGTCAAAATCAATCTCTCTTCTTTCAAGAAAAATCACATTTTCTGGTGTACTTCCATGATTATCTCAGATGTTTTACAAGTAATGTAAAATTGCTTAAATGGATCCTAAAAATACATGAAATATACTGCAAAAGAGGTTTAATTTTTTAATTTTATTTTTTAATAGTGTCTCTTATTTGGTCCTGCAGCACCTATGTTTTAGCTGTCTTTCAACAACTAGGAAACATCTTCTGCGCCCATATAAATGTGAGAGAAACAAACATGATGTTTGTTCTCACATAGCTTGTAAATGGGCTGACAGCAACTGAACATCTACAATGCGGGACAGGATAAATTAAGAGCCCTGTTTAGAATCTCCAAAAGGCTGCTGCCAAAGTCTTTCCATCTGTTCCGTCACAAATCTCAGCACAGTGTCTATAGTTAATGATTCACTGTATACCTGAAATCTGCTCAAAGAGTAGATCTTAAGTAGATCTCACCACTAAAAAAAAAAAAAAAGTTACTATGTGAGGTGATAATTATGTTAATTAGCTTGACTGTGGTAATCATTTCACAATGTTTAAGCATATCAAAGCACCACACTGTGTGACTTGAAATCATACAAATCATACAAAATTTACTCATCAATAATCTCAGCTCATAGATAGGAGGCAGGAATCATCAGAATTCTGAGTAACTGTATCTGAGAGTTCAGAGACTGTACCTGAAACTGTAGAGAACTAAAATATACACAGGCTAGGAAGACAGACAAGTCAATCAAAATAAAATAAAATTTTAGAAAGTCTTCATATGAACAATCTAATACCCCTAAACTAACAAAAGGAAATACAGCTATGCAAAGATTAATTACCAGAGAACTCTGCCATCAAGAAGAATCAGAACACTACATGTCCTACCATGGAACAAAAGCCAGGAGGATGCTGACTCATGAAAAAATTAGTGGACTTCTGGTCAGGAACTTGCAAGGGACATAACGAAACTAGCCAGAATTCAGACACAACACTTTGAAGTGAAAATGACCAAAGAATATACTGTTGAGAAACCCCAGAGCCTTTCCACCAGTTAACCCCTGGGATCACTCCCAAGTTCCAAGCTGGTTTCCCTACCCACCACTTTTTTACTGCACAGGCCCCAGACACTGCCTTACTTCTCAGTCCTTCTCAATAATCTTCCCATAGCTACTCTGTGTAAACCCTCTTCGTAACACTGGCTTTAGACAAGGTCAGTCTTACACAGCTTCCTCAGTTTGGGAAGGCATGCTTGCTAGATATTGAAACGGTCAAAAACAAACAAACAAACAAAAAAACACTCAGACACTGGGAAATAAAACAAAGATTCAAATCTGACAAATTTGTCATTGCTATCATACCTGGCTAAAGTTTCTGATGACCTCCTCTTTTTACATAAAAGCCCAGAGGGGTCCTTCCCCCCACTTCCTCTAAGTTGTGCACATTCTTTCCTCTGTAAGTCCCTCCTTCCTAAACTATAAGCCTGAAGGGCCTAGAGATACAACTTGCACAGAACGTAGGCATCTTCTCCCAGGTGGCATCATGGGAACTCACAAGATGAGGCAGGTGCTGTGGATGCTTTGATTCAGAGTCAGTGCCTGGGCTATGTTATGACTCAAGTCTGTAATTACAGTGAGTAAGAAGAGGAGACAGGAAATGGGTGGGTGCTGGGGCTGGGAAAACACGTTGGGGCCTTAGAAAGTTATGTTGAGCTACACCTCATATTTTATATGGAATGTATTACACTGAGAGATGGTACCAGGAATAACATGTATAGAAATCACAAAAAGCTTAAGTCATAAAAACAGCTAAGTCATAATAAATTTCTAAAGAAATGTGGAAATCACCAGCTCCAATATGCCTTCCCACACAACCCTGGATAGATCAGACAAAAGTAGGCTAATTGAATAGAGGAAAGTGAGTGAATACAAGTCATGAGGGTAAGCTTGCTTGCTGGCCTTTCTGTCATACAGGCCCCCAAATACCTGGACGGAGGTTGTGTCCAGAACACCAGTGGGTTACTGATACATCCTCACCCCAACTTTACCAATGTTGTCTGCCCTAGACACCTAGAACAATCCTCCTGTCATAACTTTCACCCTATCCCCACTCCACACTTTCATACACATCACCATTGCCAGGAATGCCTTGGTTTAGATAATCAAGATACTACCATCCTCTAAATATATGATGAACAAGGAAAAAGGTAATTTTGGAGCAGGTGAGATTTAAGATATTCTCCATCCTCCTTCCTTTCCCTTCAAGTTCACTTTTGTCACTCAAAACTGCCTATCATCCTGGAGATTACATTTAGAGGATTCCAAATGTAAAACATGATTTTTGGAGAAGACAAAAATAAATTCATAATCAGGATTATGAAGCAGAATTGTTTCAATATAGCAAGCTTTCATTTTCAATGCAATGCCAAGGTCATTCACTAATTTGTAAGAGTAACCTGAGCAGTACCTGACTCTGATCAGTCCAGATCGAGGGGAGATCTCATTTCTAAAAGAATTTCCAATCTGGGCAGCAGCAAAAGGCAACTTTCCTTGGTTGAATTCCAAAAGTCGTTTGAAATTCAAGAAAATTCCCTGTGCAGTTTCTGGTCTCAAATACCTATAAATTTAAGTAAATCAGTCTGTTACAAAGAAAGAAATTATGTTTTCCAACAATCCTGAAATTCTAGATACAAATCCTAAAAGTCCTAAATATACCATTTTCACGACAAAGTTGTACAGGCCCTAAAATGAAGTTTTAGAAACATTTTCCTCAGTATCAAACATTTTCACAGCAAGTATTAGAATATGTATTAATTAGTGTGGCAATACTACTGTTGGCAATGCCATTTCATTTAATTACATCAGTGAGTCAAAACCCCATTTCTCAAAAAGCAGAAATAAAAATAATTTAAAAACACCACCTCAGGCCAGGCGCAGTTGCTCACACCTGTAATCCCAGCACTTTGGAAGGCTGAGGTGGGCGGATCACCTGAGGTTGGGAGTCAAGATCAGCCTGACCAACATGGAGAAACCCCGACTCTAATAAAAATACAAAATCAGCCAGGTGTGGTGGCACATGCCTGTAATCCCAGCTACTCAGGAGGCTGAGGCAGGAGAATCGCTTGAACCCGGGAGGCAGAGGCTGCAGTTAGCCGAGATCACACCATTGCACTCCAGCCTGGGCAACAAGAGTGAAACTCCATCTCAAAAAACAAACAAACAAAAAAAAACACCACCTCTCCCATAGTGCCACCTGATGTTTTCTAAGTCATCATGTACATGAAGGCAGATGACAATCTTAGATCCTCTGGAAAATAATACCTACGCCTATGTTTAGCCCTGTTAACCCACATATTAAAACTTAACTGAGGGGCTAAAAAGAAATCAGTATGGGCTCACATTTAACATCAGCACTCACTTATCACTAACTATCACCTCACCAAGCCAGGTAATTTTCAATGTTTTTCAAATCATTTTATTCTCTGCAGTATTTTATATTTTCAACCAGAGGCTTGCACATTTCTCTGTATTTTAAAGATATAGTCAAGCAAATACACTATTAAAGCCACTGCCCTCTCAATTTCCTAGGAAATATCCTGTGCAAAACATCCACTAAGGAAGTGCTCCAAATGGCCTACTTCAAAATAAGTATTTTACTAAAATAACTTCAAAACCAAGGGGTAAAAACCCTAAAATTGTACTCTCTTCTTACTTAACAGATGAACTCTTTTGATTTTTATGGCCCTTTCCAGATTTAATCCAAATGTAAGTAAAGTTTACGTGCATATTTACAGTTACTATGTATAAAATTATGTATTATTTATTTTATACTTTTCCACTTTCTAAATAATAGCACAAATTTCTCACATTAATAGTGGCAGAATATTATACTAAACTAATCTACTTTACTATAATTTGTTTAACCACTCTCAAATTACTGAATAGGTTATTTCTACTTTTAGTTTACATACTGCTTGTAAGTATAGTTTCCTTTCCTTCTGAATTATTTCCTTAGATCAGTTCCCAGAAATGGAACGTCTGGGTCACGGGTTATGTCTCCTTTTATGACTCTCTGTACATATGGCCAAAATGAAAGGCTTGCCACCGGCCTCTTTCCATGAAATATTCCAAATCAACCTGATGTCTCATTAGAATAATTAACTGTGACACATTTTGTCACAATTAATTTTTCTTATTCTTCAGTCCCTCCTCTGGGAAACATGATCTATCTAGCTCATGTAGCAAAAACCTACTCTCTTACCGTAACATAAGAAAAATATCTAAAGCTATGAAAGGGAACATTGGCTAAGTCTGTTAAACAGTGGACAACGAATCAGAAGATAAAGATTCCAATTCTGAATCATACTGTAAACTAACGAGATATTCTTTATCCGTGAAAACCACATCTTTCAAATCAACAGGCTACACCTATGCTGTCCAATATGGTAGGCCACTAGTCACATGTCTATTTAAATTTCAATTAAGATGAAATAAATTTTAAAATTCAGTGCCTCAGAAGAACTTGACCCATTACGAGTGCTCAAGAGCCAAATGTGGCTGGTAGCTAATCACACTGGACAACACAGATTACAGAACATTTCCATCACTGCAGAAAGTTCCATTGGACAGTGTCAGGCTAAACTAAATGGTTTCTAAAGTATCCTTCAGCAATAAGTTCAATGGCTTTCAAAACCATTCTTCAACTGTCCCTTCTGCCCTATGCAGCTATAACTAGAAGATATAGTAATCAGAGATTTTATATCTATTTTATGGCAAAAAAAAATACATATATACCAAAACAGAAATTATATTCAGAAAGAACTTTTTTAAAGTAAGACTTATTTCTGCCATTATTTCTCCATAATATATTCATCTGTAGTTCTGTATATCACTTTTTAAAAGTTTTTCCTTCATAACATTGATATTTACCTTTTACTATAAGCAATTTTAAAAACTTCATTACATAAACAGGTAAACAATAAGTGATACACACCCAGGCATGTTTCCTCCAGGCCCAATGAAAGTCTTGAACATTAAGTTAAAAGATACTGGAGGGGATAGGTCATTTCCAGTAATGGGAGATTTTACATTATAGTTCACAAAAAGATCCGTAAGTTCTTGCTGTCCATAGTTATCAAGCTAAAGGACATATAAAGAAATTAGTGTAAAAGACAAAGAAAACAAGGCATAAGATATAAAGTATTATATAAAACCCTAGCAATCCACTGTTACAACTCACACAAAATTCAGGAACATCACAATTAACCTAACCTTCAGAACACCCACATTAAAACCATAACCAGCCGGGTGCTGTGGCTCACAGCTGTAATCCTAGCACTTTGGGAGGCCGAGATGGGTGGATCATGAGGTCAGGAGATCAAGACCATCCTGGCTAACACAGTGAAATCCCATCTCTACTAAAAATACAAAAAAAAAAAAAAAAAAAAAAAAAAATTAGCCAGGCGTGGTGGCGGGCACCTGTAGTCCCAGCTACTCGGGAGGCTGAGGCAGGAGAATGGGGTGAACCCAGGAGGCGGAGCTTGCAGTGAGCCGAGATCGCGCCACTGCACTCCAGCCTGGGCAACTGAGACTCCGTCTCAAAAAAATAAATAAATAAAAATAAAAATAAAAAGCCCATAACCAATTTACACACTTTCCATTTATCAAGAGAGAAACAAAATATCTTTCTGGGACCTAAAACTCATATAGTCACTGTTTCAAAATGAAAGATAAAGCAAAATACCTCTTATTCAATTATAACAGTTATTAGTTGGCAAGAATCTGAAATTACATAAATAAGTTTACAAAGCTGAATTTTACTACTCTGAACACACTTAAGGTGCATTTCTGCATTTCTCTGTATTTTAAAGATCCAGTCAAGCAAATATACTATTAATAGCCACCACCCTCTCCTCAATTGAGTAATTAAATGTGCACTGAACTTTCCCTTAGGAGCTAAGATATTAAGCTCCTAGAAGATAGAAGCTGTATCTTATTAACCTCAGCATTTTCCAGTGTATTGCACATTCTATACATTGATCATCAATGCCAAATCCTGTAAAATGATGTATGACCTCCAATTCAAGAATTTCAAGTGGCTATGACAAACCATCTAATAGTAAGCAATATTTAAAACTTAAAAGTCTCCTAATAGAAACAAAGTAATTCAATAAATCAATTAATGGCCATAAGAACTGAAGCTTTGAGTTCAGAAAGACCTGGGTGTATCTCCCAACTCTATGCCACTTATGGGTTGTGTGACTACAGATTAAGTCTTACGTAACCTCTCTAAGAACAGGGGAGAACAGCATCTACCTCACTATGTAAGACTATTATGAAGATTAAAAACATGTAAAGTACTTAGCACAGGCAGGACCTGGTATATAATACCTACTCGATAAAGAGCAATTATGTTTGCTCCCCTCATAAATCCAATGGTATTTCCACTCCATAAAAAGGCAACTCACTCACACTAACCACATGTTCCAGGTTTGAACACGCGATTTAAAACACTAAGCCTTCTAGACTCTATTTCTACAGAATTTCTAGGGGGAATCCACAAGATAACATTATACAATTACCCAAGAGGCTGGATCAATGAGGAAACTGTTCCAGTGACCTTCAAGACACGGGTACCGTAAATATAAGCTGGTCCTACTACAGCAGAAAGTCAAAGAGCCTGAGGAACATCTATTTCCCAGGTAATTCAAGAATATATAGTGTTTTCCAATAAAAGGCATAATTTAAAAAGAAATCAGGAGGAAAAAGATTCCGCCAATATAGATAGAAATCAAAACCCCTGGGAAAGGGAATCTGGCAATATCTGACAAAATTACATTTGTATGTATCCTTTGACCCAGCAATCCCATTTCCAGGCATCTATCCCAAAGACACAATAGCAAAAACATGAAAATATATAAGCACAAGATTATTCGATGCAGCACTATCTGTAACGTTAAAGATGGGAAATAACCCAAATGTCCAGCAGTGGACAACTGGTTATATAAAATATATCCACACAATGCAGAATTATGTAGCTATAAAATGGAAGGAGGCAATCTCTATATACTATGAGGGACCAATCTCTGAAATATTTTGTTATGTGAAGAAAACCACCATGGAGAAAAGTGTATATGGAATGCAACCATTTATTTAGAAAGGGGGGCATACAAGTATCTATGTCTTTGTTTATATTCTATTTTTTTAAAAAAAGGCAGTTGTTTCAAGTTAAAAACTCCTCAGGAAGCAGGGAAGGTGAAGGGAAGAGAGATAGTAGACTACTTAAATATACCTTGTTTTTTAGATTTGCCTTTAGAGGTATAAAAAATGCTTTATATGATTATAAAACAAATTTTAATTTTTTTAAATTATACTTTAAGTTCTAGGGTACATGTGCACAACGTGCAGGTTTGATACATAGGTATACATGCGCCATGTTGGTTTGCTGCACCCATCAACTCGTCATTCACATTAGGTATTTCTCCTAATGCTATCCCTCCCCCACCACCCCACCCCCTGACAGGTGTGTGATGTCCCCCACCCTGTGTCCAAGTGTTCTCATTGTTCAATTCCCACCTATGCGTGAGAACACGCAGTGTTTGGTTTTCTGTCCTTGTGACAGTTTGCTGAGAATGATGGCTTCCAGCTTCATCCATATCCCTGCAAAGGACGTGAATTCATCCTTTTTATGGCTGCATAGTATTCCATGGTATATATGTGCCATATTTTCTTAATCTAGTCTATCACTGATGGACATTTGGATTGGTTCCAAGTCTTTGCTATTGTGCTATATGATTATAATACAACTTTTTAAAAATGAAACCCTGAATACTGAAAATAAAATGAAATACATGCACTAACTGCATATCTAGCTGATGACATAACCACAGAGAGAGAATGACTCCAAGTGACTTTAAATACAGTTATCACACTGTAAGACTACACACTGCTGGCATATCCCTAAAGAAAAGAATAAAAATGTTTTTAACTGTTTTCAACATTTATATTGCCGATGGTGGTGTGGGTACTGTCATTCTGAGACTGTTAACGTATACAGTGGGCGATAAGGCATGTCAATAGTTATGTTTTGTTACTGAGAAGTGGGATTTTTGGTGAGGTTTACATGAAGGAGAGAGATTTAAGATTAACATAGTAAAAACCCCATAAACCTAACTTTAAGTAAACTATTAAGTATCTACATTAACTCACGATAATTTTATCTTTTAAAAAATACCAATTTCCTAGCTCAGATCACTGACAAGGTCTATAATTAGTGATCAATACCATCCCCACTAGTAAGTACCAGGGCTCTTTGGAGAAATGTCTGATTCCAAGTCTGGGACAGGAAATGTACAAGATGAGATGGCAATATCTTGTCATATTAAAGGAAGTTTTCAGAGACTACTAGGGCTGTGTCAAAAGGACTCAGCAGAGAACTCCTAGTCACCAAAGACTGGACAATTTCACCATCAATAAGATAAATGCAACTGACTGAATATCAAATATTTGAATCTAAAGTTCACAACAGCAGGAGGAAAAAAGGAAAAGGCAGGCAGGAACTCGTGAATTTCTGAAGGATGTTAGGGAACCAACTAATGGAAAACAGGTTAAAAAAGACAATGGGTGGGAGAATGGATTAAGCACTTTTTCTCACTTTTCTTTATAAATGGTGTCTCAGAGAAATCAAATAGTTGATAGAAAAAGTTTTTCCATACAGAAATAGTCTAGCTAAAAAATATATATATAACAGAATGACAAAAATCACCATTTTGAAACCCCCTCATCAGTTAATGCACCTAAACAATGGACATCAATGGCCACAGCCCACAGAAGAGCTGACCAGGTACTATGTACCTCTGGACAGGAGGCCATAACACCACTTAATCAAATGTCTTGCCAAAAATACCTGGTCAAGCCTCTAAATCTAATACAGAAAAAGATGAACATGTGTAACCTCACTACAATAACATAATTAGCCAAATCCAGACCAAATTCCAGTAGAAAACAATAAGGAACAAATGACTCAGCTTCTTGAAAAAAATTTTAATGAAAATGCTGGGAAAAAAAGGGAATGAGGGAAGGCCATATAGATTGGAAGAGATTTAAGAAACATATCAACCAATCACAAAGTACAGACTTTATCTGGATCCCAATTCAAATTTTAAAAACTGGAAATATTTAAGACAGCCTAGAAAACATGAACACTGATTAAATATTTGATACTAAATTATTAACATTTCCCAAGGTAAGAGGACTGAAAAAGATTTTTAAATCATTTAAAAAGCCTTTATTTTTAAAGGATTTTTCTCTTTTAGAGATAGATAATGAAAAATTTACAGGTATAATAAAATAATGTTTGAGACCTGCTTCAAAAAAATTCAGGCTGGGCACCATGGCTCACATCTGTAAACCTAGCCCTTTGGGAGGTCCAGACAGGAAGATCGCTTGAGCTCAGGAGGTCGTGGCTGCAGTGAGCCACGTTCATGCCCCTGCACTCCAGCCTGTGCTACAGAGTGGGACTCTGTCCCCACCCTACCACACACAAAAAATTAGGGGAAAGAAGTCAGTAAAGTGAGAGGGGAATAGATACAAAAAAATTTAACAGTGAAGCACGGGGATAGGTACGTAATTGTTTATTACGTTTTTATTTAACATATAAAATTTCGTATGTTTTGAATTTTTCATAAACAAGTTAAAAATGATTTTTAAAACTGGAACATCCAGAGATGGGCCAGCAAAAACAGAGACGAGAAACAAAAGAATTCGTTCTGAGCTGTTAAATCCACATAATAGGAGTAGAGGTCTTCCTACCACAGAAGGTGAATCAGGACCTTTAAAGAAACAATCATGCTTCATAAAGCTGAAAAGGAGTCAGACACTAAGGTGCAGAAAACGCTATTCTGTGCTTAAGCAACAGATGGGCTTTCAGCCAGTGAATCCACCAGGGCCATTTCTGAGTGCTACACCATTTCCCATGGGTCCCTAACTTTTCATTGAAGATTATATTGACAGCTGTACATGTATCTGATATGGCAAATCAAAAAACAAATTGCTCTCCTAGAACACGGATCTGAAATAAAAGAGAAGGCCAATGCTCAAACAATAAATTGACTTGTCAAATCAACTAGTTACTTCCCAACTCTGACAACGTACTTGGAAATGAATGATACTGTTAAGGTCAAAAACATATATATACACAAAACCTCAGTAAATCTAAAATTCTGAATGGAAAATTTTAGGGATACTTAGAGGCACTTCCCATTTTTTCTAATAAAGGGCATGCCTTTGGAAAAGAAAATGAGATGAACATGTGGCTTCAACAGCATCAAAATATAAGAAATAATTTTCTAAACCATCAATAACTGTACTAAAACAATGAGCTTCAAGCAAGGGATAAAATTATACTCCACAAGGATCAAAATAAATCAGCAGATGATTCAACAGCCAAATTAAGAGAGTTTTCAATGTAAATGAAGGAGAAATTATTTTAGCTATGTTGGAAAGTTAACTATCACAGAGAAAAATAAGCATGCTAAAAAAAAAATTAGAACAGTGGAAAAGTATCCAGTAATTCCCATGAGAAAAAAACAACAAATTAGGGAGTTCTATATTCAGACACAGAGAGAGACAGAGATCTGTGTAAAGAAAATAGGTTTAATCACTGTACTGGTTTTTTGTTTGTTTTTCACCCAAGGAAGTAAATAAAATTTAAGAAGTGAGCCTCAGTAGACCTCATGAGTAAACATGGTGTTGGAGAAACGTACTTTGCCTAAATGGAACAGCCGATAGATGAGGTGAGACACTAGCAACATATATACCTGAGCACATGCATCTTCCCAGGGAGACGTGCAGTTTTGATCATATTCTTAGGGTGGTCTGTGACTCAAAAAAAGGATAAGAACTACTTCTAATATAGAAAGTATTCCTGCAATTGGCAAAAGGTCAGAATAAATTATCTCTGTGGTCTCTTTGTTGTCTTATCTAAAATTTGTCAGCTTAAATATACAAATTATAAAACTTTAGAACTACAGGCAAACTGAGAAAAGCAAGGACAGAAAAGTAGGGACCTGCTGATGAGGTTCTAAGAATAACAGCACAAAATCAGGGTCCAAGCAGAGGCAGATCAAACAGCTAGTGAGAAAGTGCTCATCAAGTTATCTGCCCTGAAATCTCCACACCAGTGCTGAACACTACCCATCATCAGTCACTCCTGTGGTTTTAGCTATTAAATCCAGAAAAGCAGTTTCCAAGGACAGACAAATTTAATGCCTATTTACACTAACTTGTTAGTTTTGGCTGAAATAAAGGGTTAGTCACAAAAGAGAGAAGAAAATAAAACTGCAAAAAAAGAGATGCTATAAAGGACAGAATTAACCTCTGCTTCTTTACAGTGTGGCCAGGGTCAGCATAATGGGAAATGCAACAATCATTAAACACTGGAAGAAGGACAGCGACCACCTAGGTTACTCTGATAACATCTCTAGAGTACTCACCTGGGCCAAAACACTTTCCATCTCTGATTTCTTTTCGACAGAACACTTCTTATCAGACATCAATTTCTGTAAATGAGCTGTAAGAACAGTGTTGACATATGATAATCAACGGGAAAAAGGACAATGCACTTTTCAGTTTCAATGCTGGACAATTAAAAAGTAAATCCATGGATAAAGTTCTTAATTTACATGAATCCCATGGTTGATTTTACAGCAGTAGTCATGGTATTGTCTTGATTCATTTGCTAATTAGAAAAATCATCTGTATGTAACTAATTAATCTACACAAAACTTTTTTAAAAAATAAGGGACTTGATTTATATACTTAAGATCTGTGCACTTTACTCTTTGAATGTTATGCCTCAATAAAACATTTAATGGAGAACATCTGAGAGAAAGTTTAAACCTTTTATTTTGATCAATCCTACCTGAAGGAGATGAAGAACCTCACCTTTTAATAGATGGTCAGCCCGAAAACATTCTCCATTTTTTACATCTTTCACCATGAAGTCAGCAAATTTGTCTACATGGCCAGAGGTCCTAAATTAACAAACGCCAACTCAATTCGTCATTCTCATACAAATTACACCTAGATATTACCTTATAATTCCCCATCAGTGTTTATATCTGTGTATCTCAAAGATGGAAGCTCCCACATCTATAGTAATGATGTATCCATGACAGATGGTAATGTATGCCAGAGAAAATTCTTCCTCAAATCTATTTTTCACCCTCTCCCACATTCTTCCTTCCCATAAGAAAAAACACATTAACTACACAATAAAAAGACAATTCTTTTCTACAAGTTGTCATAAAGTCTGTACTATTCTTCAGGATCAATTAATCCATGCCTATGCCATTATTATTAGTGATCTAAACAAAGGTCAAAATCATTGGGAATTTGACTAGTTAAAAATTCATGGCAGTTCAGTATAGACATTGAACCTTAAGAAAGTGGTTCCTGCCACTGAAACCTGTACTGACATTGGTATTATCTCTACAAAGTTCCTATTGGTGGAACAAGTAGCTAAAAGGATAGGTAGTCTTGATCTTATAGAGCCATCATCCAGAATTCCTCATCTTAACTGGCTGAAATTATTAAGAGAACCTAACGAATGCCAATAGTAAAAATCAGCTCTCCACCAGGCAACCTTAAATGAATAATGACGAGTTACAAAATGATAAGAATTCCTCTTTGAGTTTCACATTCTGAAATTCTGCCCTACTTTGGGAGGCCAAGGCGGGCGGATCACTAGGTCAGGAGATCAAGACCACCCCGGCTAACACAGTAAAACCCCGTCTCTAATAAAAATACAAAAAAAATTGGCCAGACGTGGTGGCGGATGCCTGTAGTCCCAGCTACTTGGGAGGCTGAGGCAGGAGAATGGCGTGAACCCGGCAGGTGGAGCTTGCAGTGAGCCGAGATCAAGCCACTGCACTCCAGCCTGGGCGACAGAGCGAGACTCCGTCTCAAAAAAAAAAAAAAATTCTGCCCTACTTTCAATAATGTTGGTAGGAATAATCTAAGTTTCTGCATTGAAATTTCAATACAAATAGTATTTAACTGAAAATCTCTACAAATATACCTTTGCTCAGAACTTCTAAAAACTTGTATTAAGGAAATAATCAAGGATACACCCAAAAATCCATCTATCAAGATATTCAGTGCAGTCAAAAATGAGAAACACCTTAATGCTTTCAATATGGCACAAACTAACATATTATGGTACTTCCATAAAACAATACTATGCTGTCATTAAAAATGCTTTAGATGAATAGTTAATGACATGAGTATGTATTAATCTATATTACATGAAAATAAGCAGTGTACTGCTAACACTGAAATACATAGGGACATACAGAAAAAACAGATTGGAAGGACAAACACAATCATCTTAACATGGCTATCTGTGAGCAGAAGGTATATGTTTGTTTTTCCATATTTTCCAGATTTTCTACATGAACATGAGTAGTTCTTTATAATCAGGAAGTTATTTAGATAAGCATATTAAATAATTTAATAAGTTGTTTTATTTAAAGTAGGATTCCCCCCACTCCAAAGTAGGATCTCACTTTAAAACTGGCTCAGGGGTGAGCATGGTGCAATCGATCTCCAGGATCTGTTCCTCTTGGATAAAGTGCTGCCTCCAGGTCTGAATAATATTGTTCTTCAAAGCACAGCCAACTGGCCCAAAGTCATACAGACCACTAACACCTATAGAATATGAGAGGAAAACATGTACTTTACTTTGTTACTCTGAACAAATGAAGGCAAGGAGACATGAGAAACTGATACCTACAAGACTTTACATACTCCCTAAAAGTGTATTCAAGTCAACAATGCAAATCCCTCAATACTGAAGAGCCTTACTTTCAGCTAGCTGATGGAAGTAAAATAAAAAAGCTCTTACACCATTTACTAATTTCCTATTTATTCCCTAATTTCAAGCAGGACTAGCCCAAAATCTACAACAAAAGTTCCCCTTATACAAGAAACAGAATGAAAAAACAGATTATAGTTTTCTGCCATAAAAATTAGAAAATAATTTCTCACAACATCTGATAACAATGAGCTATAATTTTAGCATCCAATTCTCTACTTTATTCCTGGGTATTTGAAGCACTATTTAACCTCAAAAGGGTAAACATTTACAGATCTGCTTAGCCAAACTCAAGTCAACTTTCAGTGGCAAAGTACTATATGTCTAACGTTGTTGTAATAATCTACTGACTATGAAAAATACAGTTTTACATTTCATCAGTGAATTGCATTTGCCTATATACCTTCATATGGCATTCAGAGTGATTGATCTACATCCCTGGGACGAATGCTTTCTCCTGGCAGATGACCATAAAGAATAAACTAAGGACTGTTTTATCACCGCCCCTGTGTGAAGGGTCACAGTATAGTTAGCCAGTACTATAATGGCCCTCTGTCGCTCCTCAGTCACATTGCATTTTAAAAAGAGTACATGAGTACACAGACACATCAAATGCATACATGGGCCTCCAACAATTCCCTACATCCTAATGGAAAATAGTGCTCTCCAAGAATAAATACAGTGGGGAAAAATAACAGGTATTACACCAAATGGTGACTCCAAGCAAACAAAAGCAAAACATCTATCCCCTGCTTTGTGGCCTGATACAAGCAGATATCAACAGGCAAGCCATGTTCTCGATTTAAGTATAATATTAGAGCCACTAACAACACAACAGTTCTTTTTGTCGTTAATCCCTTACCTCCATAAATAGCAAAAGCTTGATCATAGAAAAACCTCCTCTTCAGGGTATCTTCCATTTTTGCTCGGTCTACAATATCATCTTTGGGCTGTAATGCCAGCTCCTGTTAGACATTAAATAAAAAGTGAGTGATTGGAGGGGTGGGTGGGAATCTGAACTTATGTATCTGAATTTAGTTTATTCCTCACCAGAATTAAATATAAAATTTATCAAACAGACAAGATTTTGACAGGTTAAAAACAATAGAAGCCACAGGTCTTTTTTTCCCTTTGAGTAATATAAAAGATACCTTTACTTCATCATTTAGGAAAATATATGATCATTTCCAAGATTACAAGACTAAGCTTGGCCAGGTGCGGTGGCTCATGCCTGTAATTCCAGTACTTTGGGAGGCTGAAGTGGTGGATCACCTGATGTCAGGAGTTCAAGTCCAGCCTGGCCAACATGGCAAAACACTGTCTCTACTAAAATACAAAAATTAGCTGGGTGTGGTGGCGGGCACCTGTAATCCCAGCTATTTGGGAGGCTGAGGCAGGAGAACCACTTGAACCTGGGAGGCAGAGGTTGCAGTGAGCTGAGATCGCACCATTGCACTCCAGCCTGGGCAACAGAGTGAGACTCCGTCTCAAAAAAAAAAAAAAGACTAAGTTTACTTCGATGTAGATACTGATAAGCAATATAAGCAATATTTGAATTGTTAGTGGATTGCTATAGCAAAATGATTAATTTAAAACCCCAAACAACTTAAGTTTGGTGATGGGAGATCTATTGTTTGAAAGGTCTGGGAGCAGGTATCAAATAAACAGACTTTTTCCTTAAAACAAACAAACAAAAATCATTATTTCCAGACATAAGAGAAGTCGTAAAGAAGAGCACAGTCCTTTCCATGGAAATTCATGCAGCGTATTGAGTCCAGAATTTGCAGGGTCAGGAAGGCGTTATTAAAAAGTTGACATTTTGAGTTGCATTTTGAAAGGATGAGGAGTCTACCAGGTAGAGGGAAAGGAGAAGAAGGCATTATGGATAAACAGATAAACCAAATGATACTTGTTCAGAAACTTTTCTAGGTCTCTCCCATCCAAAGAAATTAAAGATGAACAATCCTATACCTACTTACGTTCCTATTTTAGCATCCCAGGACTCACCTTTGCTTCCAGAACCCTCTTGCGGGCTTTGAGCTCAGCCACTGCTTTGTCTACATCTACTTGGGGTGCTTTATCTTCTTTGAGTTTTCGCACAAGATCTCCCTAGCCAACAAAAAGAATTTATATTCAGGATTGGTTTCAGAAGTCAAGAAATGTTAGAAATGTGTTTTTAAGCATGCCTTTTAAAAAGTCTATGTAAGAATGATACAATTCAGGTCAAGTGTGGTGACTCACGCCTGTAATGCCAGCACTTTGGAAGGCCCTCTTCACCACCTGAGGTCAGGAGTTTCAGATCATTCTGGCCAACATGGTGATACCCCATCACTACTAAACACACAAATCAGCCAGCCGTGGTGGTGGGCGCCTGTAATCCCAGCCACTCGGGAGGCTGAGGCAGGAGAATCACTTGAACCCGGAAGGCAGAGGTTGCAGTGAGCTAAGATCACGTACGTCACTGCACTCCAGCCTGGGCGACAAAGTGAGACTCCGTCTCAAAATGAAAAAAAAAAAAAAAAAGAATTATGCAATTCAAATGTTTATTATGCGAGTGGTCATTATGAATGAAGGTCTCTGCCCTCTTCATTTATAATCTAGAAGAACATACAGGCAAGTTAACAAATAACTGCTCACAGGGTGAATTTTTTCCTTTGGGTATAGAGGGGAGAAAAAGGAGGGGAGAAAAGCATTGATTAAAAAGTAAGAAAGAGCAAGATCTGTACTGAGAACACAGAAGAACCAATAAATTGACCACCCTCTTAAATCTCTCTCCTCTCGCTTACAAAAAACAAAAAAATATTATTCAGTTTTCCTCCCACTTCTCTGATCATTCTTCTCAGTCACTGCTGGCTCATCTTCCTTTGCCTTTCTCTTTATAGTTGGAATTTTTTCCTTGCTAATATTTCTGAATTATTTTATTAACTTCCAACAACCTATACTAATTCCATATTTATAGTAATATGGTGAACTAGATCATCTGAGAAAACAAACAAAATATTACCTATATAGGATGAAAAACTTTCAGCTGAGTAATTAAAGTTGTTAAATTGATAGAGCCGTTGGGCACCCAACAGAGTTTTTAATTTCAGTGATCCATTTCCATACAATATGTGGTTCATTTTCACACTGCATGATTGTTTTTGGTAGTCTCTTGTTCTTTGCTCATGTTTTTGAGTCCTCCTTCTATTTTAAAAAATTATCTTAAGCATTTTAAAAGTATGTGATTATTCTAATACTTTTGGAGAATCTAATTCTATTATCATTTCCCCTGAGTCTCACTCAAGGTGGCTCGTTTCCTTGTGGGTTTTTAAATTTCGAGTTTAGCACTTATTATTTTGGTAACCGTAATCTGTGAAATATCCTAGAAGACCAATGTAGAAAGTCTGCTTCTTTTGCAATATGACGTTCTGGTTAAAGTATATGAAGAAAGACATACATAGGTGGAAAAGGAAAAATAATTTTAAAAGCCGTTTCGCATAATTGTGGATATTCTTTGATACTACCTCAAAACTCTGACAAGTGTTACTTTCTTCAAGGTTATTTCTAACTCAGAAACTATAGCAATGAATTTTTTGTACTGTTAGAATAAATCTATTAATGTATCTTAAGCTTTGAATGGCTCTTTCACCAATACCTGATTTCATATCATGCACTGGTCACCTGGAAAAATATTGGTTCACTGAGTTATGCAGATTATCCAACTACTATCAAAAAAAAAAAAAAATCCACGTTTGTTAATATCACCACTCATCTCATCACAAATATCTTTAAGGACTGTGAAGCTGCCAAGCTCACAGCAAAAGATACGCGTTTTCTCAGATTCTAAAATTTCCCCAAAGGTTATTATTGGCCACAAATAGTAACCACTGTTTTCTTAAAGTGACAAACTCACTCATTCATTTTCCAGATTAACAAATTTCTATGAAACGTGCTACTAACAAGACCAGTCGTTAAGTAAAAATCCCACTCCGGAAAGGTTTTCAATTGCACTTCACAATGGAATTATCCAAAATGGATAGGGGTGACAGTGTGTCTCACTTCCCCATAAACAAAAAATGGGTAAAATTAGATCCTCTTTAAATTATCTTTCAGCTGACATCGGACTCAATAATTCACACAATTAACTAACTGATATATGTATGTTCCTGGAAAATTAGAAAAAATATCCAAACTAACTTAAATCAACTAACTCACATATTCGGAAAATATCTTAAAGTACAAAACAATTAATAATCAAGACAATATAAACAGTACACAAGGCAGTAACAGCATCGGAAAGCTGCCGCGATCAAAGTTTACTTTAGTTAACTTGATCCAGTCTTAACTACCAATGGATGATTTTCACTGCAGTTCCAGGCTAACGTGGCAGAGGGAGGGGTTTGGGTGTGGTTTTTTTTCCCCCAAATTAGTTGTATGCTCCCTTCTAAAGGGAAGGATATTTAAAAAAAAAAAAAAAAGGCAAGTTAAGAAAAGACAAAGGAACCACACCTAATTTTATTTGTGGAGTGGAAGGTGGGTGGAGGGAGACAGAGAATATACAATCTGTGTTCTGACACCAATCATGAAGAAAAAAGTTAAGCCCGTGGTGATATTTCAAAATGAAAGGCTATTTATTAAAATCAGTCAGGCTCAAACCAGTGAAGAGGACAGATGGCAAAGTGGCTGAATTTGCGGCAGCTATGCCCCAATGAATTATTTCCGAGAGAGGGTTCCACCCTCTGTAGCTAAGGCAAATTATTGCATCAGGCGCCCATGCAGGAGAAACCCGTTTGGTGTTTACTACTAGGTCATCGATCTCCGGGGTCCTACTGCAAGCTTCTGGCTCTCCCTAATTGGATATGGGAATCATCTGAAATAATCTTTTCCTCGCCATCTCTAAATTCTAATCTCTATGGCAGTGCCCTAGGTAAAGGAGGTCTACATTAAATCACCAAGCCCTCCAGCCCATGAAACCTTCCCTCACCTTCGGGAAAATCAAATTTCAAAATATTCCATACTAAGGATGGCTGACTTCACCAAGTAACTCCGCAACATTTAGTTTCCCAGGTTTACGATCTGAGAGCTCACTGGTTCCAAATGGCCTGTTCAGAAGCCAGAAAAGATGACACGAGCAAAGGATGATGAGTTCACAGCATTAATAGAAGAAGTTCGACACCTCCCCACATCCACGTTTCAACTCTGTTTTCTCAGCCAATCATTCGGCTAAACTAAGCACTGAATGAAGGAAGATGTTAAGGAGGAAACACTATTCAAAGCGTCCTGAAGATTAAAGGGCCTGGCCGTAAGACGAAAGAACCGGCAGTTTTTCGGCTCATCATTGACCACGGAAAGTATTAGGAAGCTTTCCACCCAAGGTGCACAAAGAGTACAGCAGAGCCTGTAAAACTGAAGGTTATTCAGTTAGGAGGCGAGGAGAACCAAAGGGTCACAGATCCCAGCCCCACTGGAAACAGAGGAGACGCGGGCTGTGACAGAATGGGGAAGGGAGAACAGAGCCTGAGGAGAGGGACGCAGGAAGTCGGAGGGGTTCCAGGGAGTCATCCAAACAGAGAGGAGGACGGAGGTCCGCAAGAGATGAGGTGGCTGACGCACGGGGGACTTGGGACCAAAGTGGGGGAGGCGAAGAAGACGCCAGAGGATGAATGGAAAGAAAGGGGTAACCGAAGAGGAGGACAGTTCCTCGGGGAGGAGGGAAGGATAGCCAGAAGAGGGCCCTGGAAGAAGAGCCGAAGGCTTAGCAGAGGGCGCAAAACACCGGTACCTGCTGGCGCACTGCTAGCCTGAGAGGTGCCAGCACCTCCTCAGCCCCCGCGCCGTCCATGCTGCTCCGGGAGGCGGCGGGGAAGGAGATCGGGGCGCAGGAGGGCGCGCTGAGGGGTCGGCGGGGCGGGAGCGAGGGCCGGGCTAAGAGCCGGGGCGGCAGCAGCAGCAGTAGAGCGGCGCGAGCACCTCTAAGCAGCGCTGGACGCGGAGAGGGCATGAGCCGGCGGCCCTGGGCGGTCTAGAGAGGGTGGCGACCGAAGCGGCGCGCGCGGCCAGGCCCGGAGCATGATGAAATCGCCGCGTAAACGCCGCGGCGCGCGTGCTGCCGCACATTCCCCACCCCACGACGCGGCGCCGGGTCGCCGCCGCAGATTCGACACAAAACCCGGAAGGACACATCCTAGGGTTTTCTCCGGCTCGGGCGAGGGGTAGGGCTGCGAGTGAACAGAGTTGCACAGAAGTGCGTCAAGCCACCCCAGCATCGTGGGGTGGATGTTCAAAGACACAGCTCTGAGCGAGACCTGCAGGCCGAGGCACACAAGAACCTTCAAAGCATAGGTTTTTACACGAGTGACACCCCGGCGCACCTACTTGAACGCACACTTCTGTTTCTGTTCTTTCGCGCTCTGCGCCTTAGAAGGGTCGCAAAACATCAAATCAGATAGGGACCTTAGACTTATGTTGCTCAAGTGCAGATGTTCCCCAGATGAGGAAATAGGCCCAGAGAGGTTAATGATTTTCCCAGTGTCATACATTCCTGGTCCTCCAATGTCAAGACAAACGCTGGCGAAAGGCGGAGGAGTGAGGGGAAAGGGTCACCCCAGGCTTTCTGGAGAAGGTAAATTCCAATCTGCCCTTGCGGGGCGAGCAGGATTTGAACCAGCAGAGATGAGGAAAGGCAAAAGGTGCCTGATAAGTCCTTCTGCTTGGCATAGCGTCAATCTATCTGCCTCCTGTGGTTAGGCCCCAGCAGACCAACCACCCAGAGATGGCTTCCGCCTGCCCCACACCCGGTTCCTCCTGCCCAAAGGGTGGAGGGCCTAGAAAAGCTGGGTTCCCTCTCCAGAAAAAGAAGAGAAAAATAATGTGTTGGTTATAAAAAGAGCATTGCGCACACCTGCAAAAATGGCTAAAATGAAAATGATGGAAAATGCCAAGTGACCCTCTGAGACTCTCCTACACTGCTCAGGGGAGTGTCAACTGGTGCAGCCAGCCACTTGGGAGCTCTTCGGCAGTATCCACTGAAGCGGAGCACACACATCTCCTGTCACCCACAATCCCACCCAGGAGTGTGCAGGAGTAGACGGGCTCACTATAATGAAGTCTCCTTTCCTAATAGTACGAAAGTCCATGTTAGTTCTCTTCCCATTCCAGTGTGCAGTTCTGGAGAAGTTCTTCCAATTCAACATGAGCAGGGTGGGTTGCTTAAGAACCTTCTGCAATATTGAACAGTTATATTTTTAAACACTTTTATTTCAAGATTTGATATCAATTATAATTCATTTGGCTTTTATTTTACTAGGTAATTTTGAATTTATTTTAATATTTTTAAATGTGAAAATCATTTTAAGTATTACTTTTATTTTTATTTAGATTTTTATTAAAATGTTGAAATTCTATATCCTTTGAATAAAACTGTATTTTATTTCTAAAGAATTCCTTAGATCAATAATGTCTCATCCATTTTCATGTTAGAACAGTCCTGAAAGGACTCCAAATCTGTTCTTCCCTCCTCCCCCACCAATTCATCCTCCCCACTGCTGCTTCAGTCTTTCTTTCTTTCTTTCCTTCCTTCCTTCCCTCCCTCCCTCCCTCCGTCTTTCTTTCTTTCTTTCTTTCTTTCTTTCTTTCTTTCTTTCTTTTTCTTTCTTTCTTTCTTTTCTTTATCTCTCTCTCTCTCTCTCTCTTTCTTTCTTTCTTCTTTTCAGACAGACTATCACTCTTTCACCCAGGATGGAGTGCAGTGGCATGATCTTGGCTCATTTCAACCTCTGCCTCCCAGGTTCAAGCGATTCTCCTGCCTCAGCCTCCTGAGTAGCTGGGATTACAGGCGCGTGCCACCACGCCAAGCTAATTTTTAAATTTCTAGTAGAGACAGGGTTTCACCATTTTGGTCAGGCTGGTCTCGAACTCCTGACCTCGTGATCCACCCGCCTCAGCCTCCCAAAGTGCTGGGATTATAGGTGTGAGCCACTGCGCTCGGCCCAGTCATTATTTGTGAAAGGCAAATCTGACTGTGTCCCTTCTCTTCTCAAGACACTTCAGTAGGTCCTTCATGGCCCTTGGCAGAATTTCCCAAACAGTTTTCCTTTGAAAACTGTGTCTGCACAATAATGATAATAGTTTACATTTGTTGAGGACTCACTATGTACCATTTCGTTCTAATTTATCTCATGGAATTTATTCACCAATTTAGTGAGATAGGTTCTATAATTATTCCCAGTTTTCACATGTGGGATTCAAGGGACTGAGGTATCAAACAACTTGTCCATGGTCACACAACTGAGTGAATGTTGGGCCAGAATGTGAGCTGGGGGCAGAGGCAGATTTTCTACATAGCTAATGAAGCTTCAAGTGAGTTTAGCCCCTTTCTTGGTTGGGCTCTTTAAGTGCCCTGCAAGAGGCCCTAGTATTGTGTATGTATGATCATATATTTTTCTTTCTTTGAGGGAAATACATTTTGCATACATTAAAATGAACAAAAATGTATAGTTCAACGGGTTTCCACAAAGCAATACCCTCTTGTAACCCCAACACCAAGCAAGATAAAGAACATTTTTCCCTGACCCCACAAATTCCCTTGCATGTCATCCTGGTCGTCCCACCCTCCACAACCAGGCAATCACTATTTTGATTTATTTTCCTCTTAGACCTAGACTGTTGTATAAATGAAATTGTTTTGTTAAATTTAATTTAATTTAGGAGAACTAAATAATTAAACATGAGGCCAAAGTACATAAGAAAGCGGCAGTCTTTTATTGCAAATATGCGCACACTCCCGGGCGAGGTTCTTTGGTCCTCAGGTTTGGGGGGGGCCAGGGAAGGGGCTGGCGCTCTCGGGTGAGGTTCCCTGGTCCACGACTACGGGGGCGAAGAAGTCACGCTGGCTCCTGCCAGTGGCAGACTTTTATGCATTGGTACTGGAAGGGGGAGGGCAGTGGGCGGGGTAAGGGTGTGATAGGGGCGTCTCTGTAGGCGTGGCCGGGTAAGTTTCGATCTCTTCGGATTGACATCACCTGGCGCATGCTCGGTTGATCTGCATCTTCCCGGGGCGGGCTGCATTTTTCCGCGAACAGGAAAGTTGGTGAGGAAGAACCCAGAAGCAACGTGGATTATGCCTTCTTGTTCACCTTCCTCCATCTTGTCCTTTCTCCCTCACCCAAACAGAAATCATGTAATATGTACTCTGTGTCTGATGTCTTTAATTGGCCATAATGTGTGAGAGATTAATCCATATTGTTTCACATATCAGAAATTTGCCCTTTTTTGCTCTGTAGTATCCCATTGTGTGAGTATACTATAATTTATTAATTTATTCATTAGTTGATAGACATTTGGGTTGTTTCATATTCTAGACCATTATGAATAATGCTACTGTGAACATTCTCATACATCTTTTTTTGTAGATATATGTTTTAATTTATCTTGGGTAAATATCTAGGTGCAGAATTGCTGAGTCAAACGATAGATGCATATTTAATTTTATTAGATTGTCACAAGTTTTTCCAATGTGGTTGTATTATGTTATGTTCTTATGAGCAATATGTAAGAGTTCTAGTTGCTCCACATCCTTGTTAACATTTGATGTTGCTGGCCTTCCAGATTTTAGCTATTCTAACAGCTGTATCTCTTTGTGGCTTTTATGCATTTTCCTGGTGATTAATAGAGTTGGTTGTGTTTTCATGTGCTTAGTGGTCATTTGTACCTCTTCTTTTGTGAAACATCCACATTTTTTGTCTTTGCTCTTTAATATTGAATTATAGGAATTTTAGATATGCTGGATACAGTCTTTTGCTAGGTACATGTTTCATGAATATTTTCTTCCAATCTGTGGCGTGCCTATTTGTTAATGATGATTTTGATAAGCAGAAATTTTTAATTTTGATAAAGTCTAATTTATCAATTTCTTTTTTTTTTTCTGGGTTCTAAAAAATCTTTGCCTACACTCAGATATTCACCCATATTTTTGTCCAAAATGTTCATTGTTTTGTGTTTAGGTCTATGATGCATCTTGAATTAATTTTTGTGTATAGTTTTAGGTAAGGGTCAAAGCTCATTCTTCCCGTTTCACGTGTCCGTGTGAAGAGACCACCAAACAGCCTTTGTGTGAGCAACATGGCTGTTTATTTCACCTGGGTGTGGGCGGGCTGAGTCCGAAAAGAGAGTCAGCAAAGGGTGGTGGGATTATCATTAGTTCCTATAGGTTTTGGGATAGGTGGTGGAGTTAAGAGCAATGTTTTGGGGCTGGGGGCGGATCTCACAAAGTACATTCTCAAGAGTGGGGAGAATGACAAAGAACCTTCTTAAATGTGGGGGAGATTATAAAGAATCTTCTTAAGGGTGGGGGAGATTACAAAGTACATTGATTAGTTAGGGTGGGGCAGAAACAAATCACAATGGTGGAATGTCATCAGTTAAGGCTATTTTCACTTTTGTGGATTTTCAGTTGCTTCAGGCCATCTGGATGTATACGTGCAGGTCACTGGGGATAGGATGGCTTAGCTTGGGCTCAGAGGCCTGACACTTCCCATATAGATATCCAGTTGCTACAGCACCATTTGTTGGAAAAAAGAAGGGCTTACAAAAAATTATTGCCATTGATCAGCTG